TAAAGAAATATTCGATACTTTATAACTTTGAAAGTTATATTTATTATAAAATTAGAGAGATTTAAATATCTTAATCTAATTCTTAAAATTTCGTAACTTTAAACTATAGATACTTTTATTTCGATTTATTTTTCTACTATTTTTCTAGAAGATAGATTAAAAGATAAGAAAGTTCGAAGAATCGTAGATTCGAAAATAGTTTTTTATAAAGATTATAATTTATTAATATATCTTAAATTCGCTATAATTATCTCGAAGGCTATTAAATAGAATAAGTTAAAGACTTTTTTTAAGAAAATTAATTTTTTAGAATCTAATAGTTCTTTTAATTCTAGAGATAATTTATTAGATATTAAAGAGATTAAGCGTTAAAATTTTTAGTAAATTAAGTCTATTTTAAGTAAAATATTAAATTATTAAAGCTTATAAAAGCTTATCTTAAGAATTTAAGCCCTTTAAATACTTTTATTATTATCTTTAAAGTTTTTAATTCTTTTTTTATTAAAGTAAATAATTATTATAAGCTTTTTAAATTAATCTATCGAAGTTTTTAATACTTTAAAAACGCTAATATTATTATTTTTATAAATATCTCTTAAGTAAGTATTTTCTACTAAAAAAATAATTCGCCGAAGTCTTTTATAATATTTTTTATTATTAGAATTTAAAGAATAAGCTAGTAAGTTAAAATTAAGATTAATTTTTAAATCGCTTATTATTATAGTAGAGTAAAGACTATAAATATTATAATTACTATATTAATATAAATATCTTAATAAAGAAGATCTAAGAGATCTATTTTATATAAATCTTATTATATATTAAATATATATTATATCTAATATAAAGTCTATTTTCTCGAAATCTTAGAAACGCTAGCTTACTTATACGAAGTAATAATTAAAAAAATTTATTTAAGATAGTCTTAAAGATAATATCTATAAACTTATTAAGTCTATAAATAAATATCTATTTTAATAAAATATATAAGCTATTATAGTAGATAAAGTTAAAAATTTAAAATCTATTAATAAGTCTTAAATAACTTTCGATTATTTATAAGTTATAAAGCTTTTTTTAAAAGCTTATCTCGAGCTAAGCTTAAAAGTTTATAATTATCTATTTAATTTCTATTATAAATACTTATTCTTAATTAATTTAAAATATATATATCTTATAATACCTCTATATCCTAACGATAAATATTATTTTACTTTTATTATTTTAAATATTAATTAGATATAGTTTATAAGAATATAATAGAGATTATAATCTATAGACTTTATTATAATAAAGCTAACTTATAAAATATTTAATTTTATTTCTTTAAAATCTTCTTTATTATATTCGTCGAATTCTAAGATTTTATTATCTCTTATATTTTATATAAACGAGTTTTTTAATAGCTTTTACGATTTCGAGATTTTTTTTTAATAGTATTACTTCTTTCTAAAGTCGAATAAATTAAATTACTCTTATTCTTTAAGAAACTATAATTATTTATATTATTAATTAAGGTCTTTAGCGTAACTTATATTATTAAAAAATATATTTATATTTTTAAAGAACGAGTTACTAAAGTAGCTAAGTAACTTATTTCTTTAAATTAATCGAAAATTCGAGATTTCTTAGAAACTATCGATATTACACGTCGATAAATAAAAAACTTCGCGGAAATTATAAGATCTCTTTTTAGATTTATAGAAAAGATAAAATAGCGATAAACTTAAGTAAAATAATTATTCTTCGAGATTCTATATATTAAATATATTATAAAAATAAATATATATAATATTAACTTAAATCGAATCGTTTATATATATACTAATACTTCCAATTTTACAGCTAGATATACTATTACGTAGTATTATATTCTTATATTATAAGAAGCTACTCTATTAAAAGCTTTATAATCTTAAAAGCTTATCGTAATAAAAAAGAATAAAAAAGTATTTATCTTATATAATTTATTTATCTTTAGTCTTATTTAAAAGAAATACTCTACTTATAAGCGAGAACTTTATACTATTATTATATTCTATAAAAAGTATAATTACTTATATAAGTACTTATATTAATTTACTATAATATATATTAATTATAAACCTCTTATATACTTTCTTAATTTAGATTTTTATAAGAAAATCTACGAATATTAGATTAATAGATTTTATTATTTAAATTTTACTATTTAATATATATCTAGATCTTAAAATAAAGCTATTAATAATTTATCGAGAATCTTATTTAATATTAAATATTTAGAGAATATTATAATTATATAAGTATAATAGAAACTAGAGAATTATAGCTTGAAATAAATCTAGAAAAACGATAAGAATAAATTTAACTTATTTTTAATAATATTTATTAAATCGAAGTAACTTAAAGTCGTTAATAGAGATACGCTATATAATATTTCTTCTTTCTTATTAAAAGCTATTTCTATTATAAAAACTATAAAACTATTTATAAAAGCCTTTAATAAGATTAATAAGAATATTAAGATTTAGATTAAAGCCTATTATAGTAATATCTAATTTAATAAAATCTACGAATTTCTTATTATAAGCTTTTCGACTTCTATTATTACGCTATTTCGAAAAGCTTTTAAATATTAAATAATACGATATATTTTATAGATCTTTCGAGGAGATATATATTTATCTTATATACTAAAAGAAAAAATATTTATAATACTTCGAGAAGTTTATAATAAAAGTAAATATTAAATTAAGATTAATACTTTAATAAGATTATATAGTTATTACTAGTCTAGAAAAATATAAGATATTAAAAAGTATATTATTAGATATCTTAAGTATACTAAGTATAGACCTACTATTAAATCTTAGTCTTTATATTCTATTAAAGTTATATACTCTTTTTAACTTATAAAAATAAATTTTATAAACTTATTTAAAACTATTAAAGTAGAATCTACTTTTATACTCGTAAAAGTTTATTATATAAATAGATTTACGATTTCTTTTACTACTATATCTATTAATATAAAAAATATTATCTAATATCTTAAATTATTCTTTATTATATATAGAAAATCTTATATCTACTATCTTAATTATAATTAATATTTCTTTAATAATAAATTAAAAGAATTCTTAAGATTTAAAGATATTATCGTTATATATAATTCTTTTAATACTTCTAAAAATATAAAGATAATTGAGATTTATAATAAATTTCTAGAAGCGATACTTCGTAAAAATTCTCTTTATATCGAATTAAAATGAAATTAGTAATTATTAAAGACTAGAGATTCGATTAATATATAAATTATTAAATATCTAAAAATCTCTTTTATTAGTATTCTTTTCGAATCGCTATTAGAAGCTTCTATTAGTATATCTATCTTATATATACTTTTTAAATATAATATTTCTACTTAAGTAGCTAAGTTAAAGAATTTTATTAGTTATATTTAAATTATATAATAATATCTTATTTACTAGATAAATCTTTATAATATAATTAAATAGCGTTTAAATTAGTAGAAAGAGAATATAGCTTTTTAATATAATAAGAGAATTAAGTAAATTACGTATTATATTAATAATCTAATTATATTATATTAGAAGAATATAGAAAAGCTAGAGACTCGCTAAAGAGATTTATTTCGAATAAATAAATATAATAGATCTTATAGAAGATTCTTTATACTTATATAATTTAATAGCTAAAAAATTAGATATATATTTTATAGAGATTAGCTTAAGAAATTTATTACTTATATAGACTATCTTCTAGATCTCGCTATCCCCTTATTACTATAATAATAAATTATTCGATATCTTCGCTAGAAGCTTTTCTAGAGATTTATACTTTTTATAGAAAGCTTTAGAATCTATACTTTCCCGAAGTTCATATCTTCTCGAAGTCTATACTTTCTCGGAAATATATGCTTTTATAAAGTAAAGTTTAAACTACCTACAGAAGGCTTTAACGTTCTTACTTTCTATAGTATTATATGAAAATAGTTATAGGAATAGTAGTAGTTTTATTCTTACTTTAGGTGCTATGCTATACTATAGCTTTATTTCTTTTACCTACATTTATATATAGCTTTATAGTCGCTAAGGCTCTGTCTTATTTGTTCCGTAGTAGTCGGAAGGTGCTTCCTGCGGGGTCGTTCTTTCTAGCTTTATATAGTATAGTTTGCTTGGCTAGATCCTTAGGGAATCCTTGGGATCCCTCCTCCATAGAATCTACATCCTCTTCTACCCACACGAGCCTGGTCATTCTTGTTCTTTGCCCGGAAACAGCACCCGGATGTGAGGGGGGTGTCAGTATATCAAAATGGGGTGTACATTGATCACGTCCCTACTAATAAAACGATTGATTACATTTTAGCAGTCGTGAGTTTTAACCAGACCTTAGTTCCGACACCAGAGCACACTAAGCTTCCATCAGTGCCCCCAAGTCATAAGGTAGAATCGGTTCTGTTAGGCATTCTTTAATTACATCAGTCTGCATCTTGCACCTCGGAGCTCACGATTACCTTAGACATTATGCATAAGACATCCCCTTCCCAACATGAACATGAAGATGATTTCAAAATCAAAGGCTTAGAGCTCCCCTTGTTTTCCTTTACCAATCATCCTCTCTGCTCTCTCAGCGCGCATTCCTGTTCAGAACATTGTCTCATTGCCTCTCAACGCATTCACATACGCTACATCTTCTCCACCCAAAGGCCTCACTACTTCAGTGCTTGTCGTTATGGCAATCCGCGTTGGTGTGATTGGTTTGTCTGCCAGGGCCAAAACCTCTTGGGCTAGTTCTGCACACTTGCCATATCTTCAAGCGTCTGGGGGTAGATATGCCATTACTGCTCTTTGCAACTTTTGTGTTTCGACCGCGCAATCTGCTATCGAGGCCTACAGTTTGCCTGCCAGTATATTTATTGTGAGTGGCCTCTGGCATCGAATCTGGAAGGAGCTGAAGAGCTAGATGCTTTGGCCAAAGAGAACAATGCCCGGACAATGATCGGGCTCCAGGGAGAGCTGTCGCCACTAATACTGAGGGTCAAATCTTTGATCGAACAAGAGAACAAGATCGGAAAGGTCCTTAGCAGCTCCATCATCGCAGCGGGTGGGACCAGAACGCGCGACAGTATAGTAGAGGGGCTGAGATACTTTACCCGGAGGATTGTTGGTGGCAACATTATTACTATTGGACTCCGCCATATGATCGACTTCGTGATGCTGGTACTGGGCGAGCTGTCAGCTTTCCGATCACCGCTGAATATCCAGCGCCCCCAGGTTCCAATTATGGGCATCGATGGGACCGTCATAGAAAGTGTCGCCACAGTTGTTGCCGACCACATCATGCTCCTAGGTCTTTTAAGCTCTGGCGCTCCATTGTCTGTCACCTTCCGTCGTGGACCTCCATTTAAGGGTACGCCCGGCTTCATATGGTCGATCCATGGCGAAAAGGGGGAGATCCGGATCACGGCGACTGGGCCCGCACTGCAGGCCAATGATGATGAAACAAAGTTGACGCTCCACACTTTCGATCAAGAAGAAGTCGAAGTTATCGAATGGGATCGGCATTTCAAAGACCCGCCACGACCGGCTCGGAATGTGGCCGCAATGTATGAAGCATTCGCAAATCGAGAGACGGAGAAGTATCCGGATTGTACCCACGCGGTGCTAAGACATAGGCAGATTGAGGAGGTATTCAAAAGTGCTGAGGAGGGTCGAAGGGGTGTGTATCTAGGATGAATCTTCTGCAGTGGCACCTGTCGTACGGAGGCAGTAGACAAGCCGTCAAAAGATGTGGGGATTCTGTGTGCTAGTTTGCGTTTGGTCTTGCATAACAAGCTAATTGACAATCACATCGAACGTACTACTTGGTGAATGATTCGTAAACCCATCTCACTTGCCCGATCCTTTCCCTATTTGAAAACCTTGATGGAACAAGCCAAAGTACCATTACTTTCCGGCATCTGTTCATTTGCTACTCCGAGGTTCACCAACCGACACAAATGCCTGCCACAAGAAGACGCCCCACGCTCCGTCCACTACTTGTACGACGTCCTCGCCATATTGTACAATAGCTTCCATCAACAAGCCATCTTATGCCTTGCCAAGCATCAATAGCAGAGTCCAGAAGTGCTTAGAAACCGAGTGCTGCCTGTCGCCACCGCAGGAGGCACGACCGGCTCCTGTGTCAACACCAGTGGTGACGACACTCAAAAATCGCAACACACGGCAGAACATCGATCCAAGCAGGCCCCTGTAGTCTCGCCTAGGAGATGGCAACGACGGCAGGTGCGACCATTTCTTGCTCTGCAATCTCCCCACCAGCTTCTGTCTCGGCCCACGAACCCCACAACCCTCTTTTCGCACGGATGCGTAAAGGTCCGGAGAGAGTGTCTTCAGCTTGCTCAACCTTGACAGCATCTTTAGTTGCCAATACTAGCACTTCGAAAAACATCTTCGTTGCATCAACTTTGCTGGTGGTATCTTCAGGGAGCAGCTGCTGGAACAGGATGTTGGCCTTCTTCTGCTGAGATGGGCTGCCGTCGGCGGAGGATCCAAAACGGTCACGGAGAAGGTGTACTGCATGCTTTGTGCCCTGAGACACAGCTCCTTGCTCCATTGGGTGCAACAAAGGAGCAGTGGTGTCGTCGAATTGATCTCTTGCAGCCTCATCGTCTTCTTCATCGTCTTCGCGTCCGGCCAAGCCAGGACCTTCATCATCATGCGCAGGAAGGAAGCCGTCATCGGCTGGAAGGTCAATCGCTGCAGATTGCTCTCGTGCTGCAGCACCGCCGCCAAGGCCAAGACCTTCATCGGAAGCGCCGAACATGTCGTCCTCGGGGATCTCGAGTTGCGGCATATCGTCCATGCCTGCTTGGGCTTCGTCCTCGCCGACATCCGCGACACCACTGTCACGCTTTCTCTTCAACTCGCCTGATTTTCTGACTACCTCGATAGATAAGATGCCTCTGAGCTCGGGTGCCCATCCCTTGGCCCGACCTTCGCCCATAATATTTGAAACAAAGTCGCCGTTCTTCTGCATGTTCATCAAGTTCAACAACATCGGGTCTCGGGACAAGTAGGAAGCTGGCTTAAGAATCGCTGATCTATCTACCTGTTGCTGCTTGATCTGAGTCGAAGAGAGCATGGTTTCTGAGTCTGTTTGAATGATTTTCCTTTTCTTAGCTTTATGGGTCGCTTGGTGCATTGAGGTTTCCTCTCCCTCTTCGTTGATGTTGGTAGCATCAAAATCGCGCACAACACTCGAACGAACCGAAGACAATGGCGATTGAGATGCTCTCTGAAGACGAGGATCAGCAGGGACAGAGGGTCCTGTAAGTGCATCATCCATTGGCAGTATAAAGTCATCTGCATCATCGAGTAGCATGCGACCACTGTCAGGCATTTCATCATCGCGATCTTCAATTAGAGATGGTACTCGGCTGCTCAGCCGGGTTCGTGTGTTCTCGTCGTAGCCAAAGTCATGCTGAAACTTGTCCTCGTCCCCTATGAGATCATCTTCCAAGCTTCTGGGGGGAGGTGCCTTGCGTCCGACCTCGATACTTGGCCCGTCGTCGAGTCCGAGATCGAGGTCTAGATCAATGTTCATGTCTTCTTCATCGAATTCGGCCCTTTCATCCCTGGGAGGTTCATGGCGCCCGATTTCAATGCTCAAGGGATCTGAAAGCACTTGACTGTTCCAATTCAGAGGGTCGTCCTTCTTGGTGCCGAAATCGATGTTCATAGGGCGGAAGTCGAGTAGGGAAGGGTCGAGATCGGGCATCATTGGATCACTAATTCTATCCGCTACTGTAAGGGCAGCTGCGCTGGGCATGTTTAGATTGGCCGGAAGATCGACGTTTCCGGGACGGAAAGCCTGAAGTTGTGAACGATAGTACGAGTGATGGAGCACCTTAACTTACCATCTTGATTTTGAGCAACGCCTCATTGCAATCATCTAGGAGGTATCTTGCCTTCCGACTATAGATTCTGACCACACCCAGGAGTAGCTGGCCACTTAGACGAAGGGCCATCGGCGCCGTGCCTTGATCAACAATGGCGTTGACGCTGCTCTCAATGTTGGATTGTAGAATATGTGTTTTTGATAGCTTGCGCTCCAAGTTGGCGGAAAGCCAGACGCGAGCCAGAGGCCCGGTCTTGGAGAGAAGAGTCTCCGAGTAAAACATTTTGGGCAACGACTGGATCAAAGAGCATAGAACCTTGTAGTAACTGCTGAAGCTGGACGTATCGTGCGCTCAATGTGGGAAAGACTCGCTCCAAGCTGCACTGTTGATAGGCGCGTCGATTGTGTACGTGTAGCAGGAACAACTTAATCAGCACTTGCAGCAACACTGGTCCTTGATTCCAGCGACAGACTGAGACGCGATTCAGTAAGAGTAGCAGTGGGTTTGCCGGAGCTGAGTCGTGCAATGCGCTGGAAGGAAAGGCAGGATGGGAATGTTGTGGCTGGAGCCGGGCGCTACTAAGTACTTACCCTAGGATGCAGTGTACCGGAGGATGCAATGAATATTTGCTATCTCTAAGATTATAACGAGCCCGTTTGCAGTATGGTCGTCCCAGAGGAACTTATTTTAACTGTTATTCGCTCACCAAATGGCTTCATCAAAGTGAATTTCCAAACTAGTACAGCTGCTGCTGGGTCTATGTTTGGTGATGTTATAGATTACCGGTAATTTTGCATCCTCGGGTAAATTGCATCTCAACCCTCACGCTAAAGTCTTGCAATGTATTGTACATTGGAGTCCCGAGAACTATGTTTTGCGAACAATTCAAATAGAAGTATTGTCATTCACCGCAGCTTAAACATACATTCAGGCGATAGATATCTGCACTCTTTCTTTCGTCCCGCCCTCGGTACATTGCATGCGGAGACCCGAAGGTGGAACTCTCTGAACACCACGGACGAAGAGCATAGCATTCGCCAATCTGTCGGCAGCGGCACTTCGGGCTGAAGTGCGGCCGTCAGCTTGACTACCTTTCCGGTCATGAAATTATGTCAAGACCTCATACTCCCTTACCTCTCCCCAATGGCCCCAACTCGAGGAACATGCACCAAGGCTCCAGGCCGGGGACACCCCGCCCCATGTTCTCTGGCTCGGTGAGAAATGGCTAACTACGACCAAATTTGTATCTGGCAGCATTGGCTGACTGCTTCTTCAGGCGGGCACCTCAGCATACTCCCTCCTCACCCCTGAAGAGACCCAGCAACGACTGAATACATCACTCACCCGAGGTCTATCCCCTTCTGATGCCGAAGCCAGGCTTCTCCAGCATGGGGCAAACGAGCTTCCACATGAAGAACCTGAGCCCTTGTGGCTTCGCTTCCTGAAACAGTTCAAGGAAACTCTCATATTGCTCCTACTGGCTTCTGCTGTCGTGTCTTTCATCATGGGCAATCTGGACGACGCAGTCAGTATCACTATCGCTGTGACAATCGTAGTCACGGTTGGTTTCGTACAAGAGTATAGATCAGAAAAGTCCTTGGAATCTCTCAACAAGCTCGTCCCGCACTATGCTCATCTCATCAGAGGTACTCCAGAAGGCAAGAGAAGACTTGGTCAAGATTTACAAGAAGGAATTGAAATGGAGCCAATACCCAACGGCTCCGTTTCCTCCCTCGGGACGGCGTCAACCACCGTCCCCGCCCGTCAATTGGTCCAAGGTGATTTAGTCATTTTTTCCACAGGAGATAGAGTACCTGCAGACATACGGATCACTAGTGCGGCAGATCTATCCATCGACGAGTCAAATCTGACTGGGGAGAACGAGCCAGCCTTAAAGCAAGCTGGTGCACTGGATCGCGCACAAGCAAGGCCAGCCCCATATGGCCGGTCTCCATCACCTTCATACGCCTCGCCAGCAGCAGGAACTGTAGGGGCGGACATAAGGCTCAATGAACAAGTCAATATTGCTTTCATGGGTACGCTGGTTCGGTCGGGACACGGTCAGGGTATAGTCATAGGTACTGGAGCCGGCACAGAGTTTGGTGGAATCTCAGCATCGCTGCAAGAAATCGAGAGCCCTCGAACGCCTCTACAACTCTCAATGGATCGCCTCGGGCAAGAGTTGAGTTGGATGTCATTTGGAGTCATTGCACTAATAGTTATAGTTGGACTATGGCAAGGGAGAAAACTACTGGAGATGTTTCAAATTGGGGTTTCGCTCGCCGTGGCTGCTATACCTGAGGGTCTTCCGATCATCGTGACAGTAACGCTTGCTTTAGGCGTTCTGAGGATGTCTAAACATGGCGCAATTGTTAGGAGACTACCGAGCGTGGAGACCCTTGGCTCAGTGAATGTCGTTTGCAGCGACAAAACTGGTATTTTCCCTACTTGACCAACTACCGACGGATATTGATGCAGGCTCCAGGCACATTAACCCTGAACCACATGACAGTAACAAAGCTGTGGCACTTCGACGCACCGTACCCCATTGAGGTAAACATAGACTTGGTGTCCGCGTCACCCGACCCTGCTACGCGAACAATACTGCGGGTCGGCAATATTGCTAACAACGCTCGACTGTCTCGCGCTAATGCGAGCTCACCGGCGACTGCATCCTCTGCCGCGATCATGTCGTCAACACTTGGCCAGGACCCAAACGCGGTCAGCGCCAAAAGCCGTTGGGTTGGTCAGCCGACAGATGTTGCTATCTTGGACCTTCTGGATGCTTTCGGCGAGGACGACGTTCGCGATCGGATCGGAGCACGAAGTGCAGAGACGCCGTTTAGTTCTGAACGGAAATGGATGGGAGTAGTCATCGCGGCTAACCATGGTAAAGATTTAGGAAACGGAGTCGAAGTTGCCTACATCAAAGGCGCTCTGGAACAGGTCTTGAAGCGATGTGATACTTACATCTCCAAAGACGGAAAGGAGATCGTTTTGGACGAGCCAAGGCGACAAGCCGCCATTTCTGCTGCAGAGAAGATGGCAGAGGATGGCCTCAGAGTCTTAGGGTTTGCAAGCGGCTCGAACAGAGATGCCACAAGATCGGCCAAGTCTGGACAGGCTCCAAGTCGTAGTGGCACACCGCGACCAGGTGTCGCTCGTGATGGTAGCCGTCAATCAAACGAAGATGCGTACCAGGGCCTTGTGTTTGCTGGAATAGTTGGCATGAACGATCCACCTCGAAAAGATGTTGATAAGTCGATACGGCGGCTAATGACAGGCGGCGTCAAAGTCATTATGATCACTGGGGATGCTGAGACAACGGCCGTTGCTATTGCAAGGCGCCTAGGAATGCCTCTTAGCTCCTCGAGGGCAGGGTATCGACCGGTTCTAAGAGGTGACGAGCTAGACCAGATGTCTTCAGAAGAGCTTGCTGACGCAATGGCTGGGACCTCGATATTTGCCCGTACAAGCCCTGAGCATAAGATGAAGATCATCCGCGCTTTGCAATCTCGAGGCGATATTGTCGCAATGACGGGAGATGGCGTCAATGATGCTCCGGCTTTGAAGAAGGCGGATATTGGCATCTCCATGGGCCTCCTCGGCACTGATGTTGCGAAAGAAGCAGCCGACATGATCCTCACCGACGACGACTTTTCCACTATCTTGAGCGCCATCGAAGAGGGCAAAGGCATCTTTTACAACATCCAGAACTTCCTCACCTTTCAACTCAGCACCAGCGTCGCGGCCCTCTCTTTGGTGCTCCTGAGCACTTTCCTCGGCTTCAGCAACCCTTTGAATGCGATGCAAATCTTGTGGATAAGTAAGCCTTTCAACTTAGTTTTTGGACTCGGGGATTGCAGCGCTAATTGCTATGACTAGACATCCTCATGGACGGTCCCCCTGCTCAGTCTTTAGGCGTCGAGCCCGTAGATCCTGCAATCATGAATCGACCACCTCGTTCCAGAGCCGCACGTGTTCTCACTCGCCCTGTCATCCAGCGCGTTCTCACGTCCGCGACTGTCATCATGATAGGCACCTTTGGTATTTATTATCGAGAAATGTCGTCCGATAATACCGTTACCGCTCGCGATACCACCATGACTTTTACCTGTTTCGTCTTTTTCGACATGTTCAATGCCCTGACCTGCCGAAGCGAGGGCAAAAGTATTCTTAGAGGAGAATTGGCCTTGACAGGGAACCGCATGTTCAATTTTGCTGTTGGGGGCAGTCTGTTAGGCCAGCTCGCTGTCATATATGTCCCGTTTTTCCAGCGAATCTTTCAAACCGAGGGCCTAGCGCTGCGAGATTTGGGACTGCTAGCCGCGTTGGCCAGTTCAGTATTCTGGATTGATGAAGCGAGAAAGTATGAGAGGGCCAGGAATAGAAGGATTACAGGGCTTGGAGGAGGGTACAGCGCGAGTGTATGAATACTGTTTAGTACTGCCGTTGAGATGCATAATCTTTGTACATAGCATGGGAAGGCAATCAGCGCATACCCTCGTGTTTTGGAAGAACGATCATCGTTGGTCTAGTCAGATCCCGCCTTCAGCGTTTCGACCCCATCACGGCTCTCATAACTTGCGACCGAGTTTCCCTATACGCCTTGGCGAGCAAACCGTAAGGTGGAATGATACGTCCTGGCTGTCTTTGGACCCGGAGCTACCTCCATCATTAAAGCACAACGTGTCGTGATTTTTCCAGCCCAACCCATTATCTGAGCATGAGTTGTCCCACGAAGTCTGCCACCTTCACATTTCATCACGATCAGACACCCTACATCTGTCTCATCCGCTCCGCCAATTTGTTTTTGCCAAACTCAAGCAAATTGTAAACGCCTTGTTCGCTGAAGTCCACACCTTTGATGTTCGTAACGTCCTGCGCCGGTGCCCTGCTGACCCTGCTCGCCACGACCACAGGATCAACTTCGAGTATGATGCCGTCGTCGACGATCTCGTCCATGGCGAGCGAGACGAGGTCATAGTTTTCTATCAAGGTGCGTTTGTCTGTGGAATTCCTGCAACGAAACCATGATTAGCTGCTTGAATAAGGATCGGGGACAGAGGAAAGCGGGCACGAACTTCAGTAATATGGATAACGAATCCCTCAGCGCCAGGACGACGCCGAACAGCAAAATCTCGTTTTCCTCCCCGCCGCCTACCACGTAAAGCATAACATCCCCCTCCATCTTGAAGACGACTACTCGGCCATCGTACAGTATGATGTCACTCGACTGCTTATTCGTCTTTTCCAGGAGCCCCTTCTCGAAAGCTTTTTGCTCCTTGATAGTTGGGTAGGGGTTGGCGCCTGGGTGGGACGTGCTATTTGGCGGGGCGTGGGGAGCAGAGTAGTATTTTGTGAGGATGCGGGAGCGGTCGTCGGTGGAGAGGATCAGGATGGCATTGACGGAGAAGAGAGACATGTTGGGCAACATAGTGGCGGTGAAGAGAGGACTCAATGGGGGGAGGTTTGTAGCAGCAATTGGATATGGAATTGAATCTAGGAGATCTTCTGGGAGTCGTGGCCGACGGAAAGAAGCTAAAGAGCCCTCGGAGTCGGAGCTGAGGCTCTGCGGAACAATCCAGACTAAAGTGAGTACTACCTTAGTACTTAAGGTACCTCAAAGGTAAGGTACTTTACATGTATTCTATGGTTCGCTAAGGTAATCCCGGTCGCTAGTAAGGCGAGCCTTGTTCTTGGCGTATAATCTTAGGTATTTGCTTACATTTGCTCATGCGGGAAGTCTTCCCATCCATCATGCTCCCGTGATACTCCTTGAGGCTTTTGCATTAATGGTGAGCTCTCTATATCTAACATATGTACATCCTGCACCTTCGATACAAGCGCCACGCCAATATCTACCGGTACTCCACGCTGTTCCAGAAAAGACTTGTCATTGCTCTAGCCAAATACACAAAACGCCCAGTGCTACGAATCTTTTGCATGACCCTGTTGCATCTTTGCTTTTCCTTCTTTTGACGGATCAGGGGGATTCTCGAGGTCGCCGCCACTTCCACTCCCCTCTCCATCAACTGCGGGATCATATTCGTCCAGTTTTCTGGGCTCCATTTTGAGCTTTGGCTTGTCCTTGCCTTCAGCGACCGTGATTTCCGCACCATCTTTAGTAGTCTCGTTCCCAGCAACGATACTACGTGCGCCGTCATAGTCTTCACCGTGAGAACGCCGCCGTCTGGTCTGACCATGTTCCTCAATGCTGTCTTCATCTCCGTCTTCGTGAGGAATAGGGTCATGGTCCGATGGCTTCTGGTCCTTGATGAAGCTATCAATGATATAGTATTGTAGCGCATTCATCACAACGGGGAAGAATAGCATGACGAAGAAGACTTGCACCATCTCGTTGCCTTCCGTCCACCGTAGAGCCCAGTCACCGACTCGTATTATCCACGGGCATATCTGGAAGATGAAGAAGACACAGGCTTTCATTCCTAGCAGGCCGAGGAAGTAGATGAAGGATTGTTTGAGCCACCATTGCGTTTTTGGCGGACGACCGTAATTCCCAGACTGTATTGACTCGGGCGGATTGCCCAGAGGGGTGAGAGAGAAACCGTGCGTCAACAGTCGTAGAAGTACAACGAGGATTGGTATGCCGACAGTAGTCTTCAATGCAAGCATTATTTTCAGCCAACTATACATCATCTCGGGAAGGCGGGGTTTGAAACTTACGTCGATAGCCAAGTTCAGCAAGTAGAAAGAGCAAGGGTTGGCCTGATAGTCGCCAGCTTTTATAGTCAGCTGCCCGGAAGACAACATCGACATTAGTAGGTTGGCAATGTGCAGCAATGCTGAGCCCACGACTTGCTTCGACGCGTCAAAAGCCCAGATTTTTATCGGTCGCTGAGGCCTTTCCCGCCATCGCTTAAAGACCAGTACTAGCAGTGCCAAAACTCCAAGAGCGCCTTGTATGAAGAGAGCAAAGGGGCCTAGCAGTGCACACTCCCCATTCTCCGCGCCTGGTCTCGACTCGCCGCTAGACGTCAAATTCATCGGAGAAGTCGGGGTTATGGTGGAAAGGGATGATGAATGCCTGAAGGTTGATGCAGCAATGTATGAAAGAGTCGGCGAAAAGACCATTTCTACCATCTCTGCGGGTAACGAATGGGCAGCTGGTGTTGGCAGGACCACATCATCGGGCGACATGATTCTTGGGGGACAGGTAGGCCGGGCTAGAGAAGCCAAAAGTTGGGTATACAGAGATAGGTAGCTAGCACCACGAAGGACAGTGGGTGAGTGGGTGAGTCAGTCGTGAGTTGGTGAACTTCTCCCGCGCCAAATTGTTGTATTCTGATTTCCAGTCCTGGGTGAGGGGCAAAGAGGCTCTTGGTCTGACGTACTTCAGGGTCTCCGGCGGCGAGGAGAACGTAAGGAAGGGTGGTTATAGAATAAGGACTCGGTCATGTAATTTCCAACATCTGATCAAATGCACGACCAAATAACACGGATATCAGGGGGCGATGCAAAACAAGTAGCTGTTAATAACGCGGGGCGTTGAAAGCCTGGGATTGAGGCTGCAGGATGCAGACGCCCTGGACCAAGGGTGAAACGCCTCTGGTGGCGCCAATACTTGCCGTTTGCAGATCACATCAAGACCCATTCATCATATTCTCTAGGAGCTACACACAATAGAAGTACTCTGAAGAGCTTACTACTTCAAACATATGATATGCTTCACTTAGGGGGGACATGAATGAGAATGGGTGAAGCTCGTTCATCATTTGGAGCTAAGTTTGCAAGGTCTTGGTTTTCCTCAGCTTGAGTGCCCTCATGCCTCCAGCCAGGCATACTTTTGGCGATACCATTCTCCGTCGCACTACCTTAATTGACTTGGAACGCCTTACTCCGTGCTGTAACGTACAAAAGTCTCAGCAGAGAATAATAGATCGCTCGGCGAACCCTCGTGCGCGAAGTTCCTATCCAAAGGGATTCCACATATACCCCAGCACCCCAAGCTCAGTCAATGCCGTGCTGCTTTTTCAGCTTCTCCAAGTTCTCTTGTCTTTCAGCTAGATCTTCTTTTGATTTCGCCATCTTTTCTGGTTGGTGGTAGAGAACTGCACTCATTAGCACGAAAATAAATAAAGACATCTGTCTGTAGCATATTGTCTGACATACCGACCAGATAGCGATTCTGGAAATTGAACCCATTCAACTTATCACATGCCTGCTTTGCGTCCATGACATCCTCATATACCACGAATGCGGTGCCTTTGGTATTGTTGGCGATGCCTTGCCGTATTTGCCTGTCCTATCGATCAGCCGCCGAACGACACATCAAAGACCCATTTTGGTCTACACGTCGACCGTAGGATATGGTCAAGAATACACGCACCGTACGGGCCCGAACTTTCCAAACAGATCAAACAAATCCTCAGGCGTGACATTATAGCTAGTCCGAGTCAGCAGGAAGACCGAAAACTGCGTAAAGAAGGCATTAGCTGAACGCAAGGAAATCTGACCTCAAATTCTTTACGAATAGAGCCCTAAACGCTATGGTCAGCTGCTTGTAGCTTCTTTACCGACGCCAGCAGTAACTTACCGGTTTACTTCAGGGGCCAGCTTTCCACCGCGACTCATCTCTTGCTAGGTTGGTGGGATCTTTAGCTGGCTCTTCTGTGGTATCCAGCATATGACGGATTAGATAGATGCTGTCCAATTTTTCCTGTAGACTTTTTTAAGTTGGAGCAAGTCCCCTGGCTCCGCATGGGAAATAGACTACTTTAATTTAGGTTCGACATGATGCCTGGTGATGCATGCATGCCGGGTAGATTAGATAACACCACACCAAGCTCAAAATTCTTACGTACCCTGATACTGTACATTACCTAGGTGCCTAGGTAGGTAGCCCCTAGTTCTTCAGTCTTTTTACACTTTACGCACGCTATACGCCTTGATGCATATATGCTAGGTGAAAGTCACGAGTGTAGAGACATTTTGAAAACAGCCTGGTCGAAACATAGAGGCGTAAATACCAGTCATTAACGGCAAACGTGAACAGTTTGTTCCACAGCTTTGTGATGTGAATAGCAAGAAGTGGTTAGTAAAGTCCCCATAAGCAAAACATTCATCCTTGACAGCTATTCTACCTAGGCTAGCCGGTTCGCTGAATCACAAATGCTGCGTGCCTAGATGACGGCCCGATAACGCCCTTCGTAGGGTATATATGAGCAACCAAGAAACCGTATTCTCCCAACGCGTACCCGTGGGCAGCTCAAGGCAAACGCTCCGTGCAAACACATAAAAGGAGATGTTGATACAAATGCTTCCTCTTCCACAACGTTCCTCAGCACGTTGCTTTCGTCTATGTCTTCAGACCATTATCAGGACCACTCAGTCGATTTCCACAACGTCCCCTTCGGCCTTCCTCTTTCTCAGGTTTGACTCACCGGGCGTGTGCCCACCAGTGCTGAAAATCTCATCCATCCTCGCAATTAAATTCTCAACCCCCTTGAGATCAGCAACTATTCCTCCTTTTGTCATACCTCTCCATCCATCCCCCTTGCCCCTCAAGGCACCTTTCAGACCTTCCTCGAAAGCTTCATTGCCTGTTTCCGCTTTCTTGATGCTTTCTTCCGGCACAATCCACATGAGTTCGTCTCTTCTCTGCCGCAGACGCACGTCGAAGCCACCTTTGGGGTAGGGCGCAGAGTAGCGGAGCTGATACCATTGCTCCGAGCGGGTAAGGACTGCGACGCCGCCATTTGTATGGACAGTCTCAACTGCAGCTAGCGCGCGGACAACAGGGAGTGTCATCCGCATGACGCCAATAACGCTTGCGAGACCCTGGGGCTTTAGCCGAGCTGTGAGATAGTCTACGATGCGGAGGTGTGGATTAGGTTTAGCGAGAGAGACACGCATCGGTCCGTCAGGAGGGAAGTATATGGTTGCCTTCAAAGGACTGGGGATTTTATTGTATACAAATTCAATGTGGGTGAGAGACGCACGTTGGAAGGTAAGTTTATGTGACTGGATGGTGGAGACAAAGTCTAGCAGAAGGCCAATTGCTGACAGGCGACGGGTAATGTTGGGAATGTTGGTCTCCCCAACTTTCGCAAGAACCTGGAAGGTGAAAGCCCCAGAGGTAGGGTGGAAAATTATCGAAGGAATGGCAAATACTAGATCCTTAACGTTGGAGACAGGTTTCTGCATGCGGGCGGAAATCATGTGGATTGCGGATTTGTGTGAGCAATCAAGACCTCGGTAATCGAGCTTAACCATCTCATTGGCCCATGGCAAGCTGGAAGCACTAGGGGTGCTTAACAGAGACGGAGCACGCTCGCCAGGAAAACGGAACAAAATGGTCGGTGTCCGAATTCCCGTGCTGCTAGGTGCTGAAAAATGAACTTTATGTGGAATTTTGGAGGCTGAGAGATGACGGGTATCGCAGTATTGAGAGATCATCCCTACGGCGTTTCGCTCAATGTGGGCAAGCGCAGTATAAGACTGGTCGGTCACAAGCGACTGAGGGTCCGTAGCTGCGACCTTGTACGCTGCTCGAAGTCTGGGTCCAGATACCGAGTTCGACGTCGCCGATTCAATTAATGTTGCTTTGTCTTGGAGCTCTACAATCCACCAGGAATCGCCTTCGAGGCCAGTAGTGAACGCCAAGATCCAATTAGCACTCCAAGCTTGTCTTCTGAAGAACTTGGTTCTTTGGGTATTCTTTGGAAAGAGGCGTTGCATTGTGTCCTGGCCTGGGTTCAACGATCGCACGGGCTCCAATCCCATGCTGCGGGCACTAGCATCGACTTCCTCCTGAGATGCGATTGACCTGAGATGCGCCAATTGAGAAGCCCCTTCTGTAGCAGGGGATGCAAGACGATTTAGCTCATGTTCCGCGCGACTGTTCAAGTGAGACGCTGGTAGTACTGCAAATCGGCCTGACACAGGCTCTTGAACAACTTTCACGGCTTTCGAGGTCGTAAGCTGTACAAGCAAAGATGCGTTCAAAGGCTCTGTCATCGATGAGTTGCGTTTGCACCTCATAAAACCTCCCGAATACAACGACGATTCGTTCAACTTGGCCGCCATCTCCTGGAAGATGTAGTTTGTGTGCAGTGCGATGATTTCCTGAACAATGTTTAAGAGTGACAGTTCACCCAATCTTATTTCAACTGTGACATTGTCAACCTCCTTGCCATTGCGGAACCACCGCAAAGCAATGTGAGGTATCCTTTGGCTTCTTGATGAGTAGGATAGTCGAACCTCTTTGCCACGCTTGAGCCCAATCTCGATCCAATTCTTGCCTCCTGGCCTATTCGACCAGTATTGCAAAACAACAGATCGATGCACAGCCTCTACTTGTAAATGTTCAGACCAGTGACCCCTCACCATTTCGTGCGCTTGATTCCTCAAGACAAGGAGCTTGTGGGTGAGTACGAGGTTGTGCAGGAAATCAAAAAGGCCTTGCAGACCATCGTGCTTGAGCACGTCGTTGGCCCTGCCTTCAATTTCATTTCGCAGCCTACCGGCCGGCAGCTCCATAGGTTTTGGCGAGAATGCAAAGCGAAAGTCAATGAAATAGAGCTGTGATGAGGCATCTTCCTCGGCTATAGAGAGGTCGACCTCAAATTCGTCCACAACGTGGAAGGTTGCTCGACCAGACGCAATGGAGTAATCTCGAAAGACTGGTGGTATGTTTTCTTGAAGGTTTAAACGGATCGAGAGAAGGGTGTTGATTCTCCGGAGGGCATTGACGAGTTCTTGGGGGGTTAAAGGCTCAGGAGGTAGGTAGCTGAGATCAGGTAGCCACGATGCTTTGCCAAGAGAAAGCACCTCCAAAGCGGTCTTGATATCAGGGTTGGGCTCTCTGAGTGGTATGAGTCTTCGCTTTAGCTCTCCCATCCATGAACAACACTCATCGTATTGGCCTATCTGGTTGCTGAGCCAGAAATTTAGGTCAATAACCCTGCTCACTGCCTCTACTTGTCGGGCCCATCGAGATAGTATTAAAATCTTGACGAATTGCGCCCTCCGATCGCTGGCGAAATATAGCATGCGCAGCTTCTTCTGCACATTAGCCTGCGAAGTGTCTCCGTTACCATTTAATTGTTGGTGGACATGGTTATGGGGCTCGCTTTGACTAGGCTGAGGAACTGGCATGTCCGACATATCATTGATGACGTCCGTAAGGTCGTTAAAGGTTTCTTGAACAAGCCTTGATATCAGGGAGGAGAAGGGTACGTAACCAAACGTTACATGCTCAATCTCCGGAGGAAGTTGGCCCACAAGCTTCTCGATCGCAGCGGATGTCTTGCGCTGAATGGAGCTAGGACTTGAGGGGATACCATTTGCATAGGTCCCATTCATGAGCCCATGATCTCCATTTGTTTGCGCATAGCCATTGCGGTAGTCTCCCATCTTGACATCGTGAGTATCTCCTTCGACCCTGGCATCAGACTGGACATCAGCCGCCATCTTCATGCCCATAGGACCCTTGCTAATAACTTCGGCTCTTGGAAGAATGCCTGGCATGCTGTGCGATTTATTGTCGACGACCTCGTCCCGCTGTTTCGTTTGCTCCAACGCCACCCCACCCACCGACTCCTCCTTCCCCTCCAACGAATCCCCCCTCGCACGCTGTATCGACTCTATCTTGCCCTGCCAATCAACATACGAATTCGGTACGTGAGAAGTATGGGCTTGGGAGGGGCCAGAGGGAATGAGCAAATGCTATCGATGAAGTGTAAAGTACATGTCATGTGTCGATGTGATGGCCTCGGCAGGAACGAGGGGAAAAGAGATGGGGTGAGCGCAGAGCAAATGGGTGTTGTCGAGGGGTGGGGTTCGGTCTCAATCAGAGCGATGAGTTGTCGGTTGCCTGGTTTCGCAGATTAAGGCGAAAGAGCAAGAGGGGCTCCGCGAGCAGGTTGGATAGTAGACAAGACATGTAAAGTAGGGTATCAAAAGAAGGTAAGGTAGAGAGAGAAAGAGAGATGAGGTTTTGTTGGTTGAGCTTGTTTCAGGCAAGTTGATTATTGTTTCTCAGGAATTTGCTAATGCTAACATCACCTAGCGCCCTTTTCATGCGCCGGCCAAAACAAACTCAGTAGGTATTATTATCATCATTATTATCATTATCATTGACAATGAAACTATGGGCATTCTTGGATTAACCAATACAACGAGTTGTTTGCATCAAAACATAAAGCTTAATCTTTGGCCACTTCCTACGAGTCCTGCTTTTCGCTTCTACGAGTAAGATGTTACAATCGCTACCTTCTTCCAGTGCGTGGGATGTCCTCATGATATCCTGCGCGCATCTTCCAAAGTCCAGAACTAGGGATGTATCCGTATGTGCTTATGTCCTTTGTGGCCTAGTCGATAGACTGCCTAGAGACTACCTTAGAGTCCGAGATGATACAGCGTGAAGCGGGTACCAATCTACCAGTCTAGCATTCTAAGCATCTGTTATCGAGCTCTTGGGGCTGTTGTCCTGAAGTATAACTTTACCTCCGCACTGTAAACTGTCTTGAATTGGAAATTCCGTAACAGCGTATACAACACACCATCCTGTTCCATGTTCTTTCTTGCAGCTTCAGTTGATGCATATTGTTCCTTTGATTACTTATGGGGAGGGTTGAAATGGGAGACGCAAGAGGTTGGGGAGAAGAGGCGATCATTTTAGCGTTTGCGGGGGAGCCCGACCCGGAGCAATACAGTAAAAGCAATGAGACAGCTTTCGCGTCGCAAGTCCTCGTCCATCAATTCGACAGTTCGACCCGTCAGCATCATGGTTCGTTCCAATGAGCTCCTCTACCTTTGACCATACTTCCATACTCATCCTCAGGTTCCTCACCATGGCCTTGAACCGCCCACATTCTCTTCTTTTCACTCTAAAGCTTCCTTCCGGAGCCCCACCGCCTCCTCTTTAGCCGACGACGAGGAAGTCTATAAGCTTTCTCTCTTCTCCCTATAATATGGAGCCCGACAATTCCTCTCATCCCCCCTCATATGCTGGAGAAGATACCCGGTTGACGAGCACCAAAGAGCTCTCAGGTTGGTATTCTTATGGCTGGGCGGCCGAGGTATTCGTTGTATGCGGTGTTGGGTCTTTCATCCCCATTACCTTGGAACAACTCGCGCGTGAGCGCGGCGTCCTCCTGTCCGACAGGACGATATCCTGCAGCGCCGGCTTCAAGACTCCCATGCCAATAGAATTCCCAAATACAACCATGCCATACGAGGCGGCGGCTACGACTTTATCCTCTCGAGCAGATAAAGGACAGTGTATAATCAATTTCTTCGGGACTGACATCAACACGGCGAGCTTTGCCATGTACACCTTCTCAATCAGTGTGCTCGTACAAGCTCTTCTCATCATCTCAATGAGTGGAGCTGCAGACCACGGTCGTTACCGAAAGAGCCTCCTGCTCTCATTTGCATTTACAGGAGCTGTGGCGACCATGCTTTTCCTTGCTGTAATCCCGAAGGTCTACGCACTTGGGTCATTGTTGGCCATCATCTCAAACACTTGCTTCGGCGCGTCTTTTGTCTTATTGAATTCATTCCTCCCCGTCCTTGTACGTCGGCACCCATCCATTCAGGCGCCTGAGATCGATGGAAACAGCTATTCGGAAGGGTCAAGCTCCGAGCAGACAACCGACTACGAGGATCAAGGTCACGATAGTGCTACAGAATCACTTATACAGTCCTCTTCCGTCGCTCGTCGAATGGTACCTATTGAAACTTCATCTACGCCCATTTCACCTGCACTTCGGCTATCAACCAAGATATCGTCATATGGGATAGGGATTGGATATATTGCGGCGGTGATTGTCCAGACCCTAGGTATAACAATTGTTGTAGTTGCGGACTCTATGACCACGTCCACGACTTTGACTCTTCGAATCGTCCTCTTTCTCGTCGGTCTATGGTGGTTTATCTTCACAATTCCAGCAGCACTCTGGCTGCGGCCGCGGCCGGGTCCTCCACTACCATTTATAAGCAATGGTAAACAAAGGAGCTGGGCGGGTTATATTGCTTATGCATGGTGCTCCCTTGGGAAGACTATCCTGCGAGCTCGCCGCTTGAAGGATGTCACGCTTTTTCTAGGCGCTTGGCTACTTCTGAGCGATGGCATCGCAACAGTCAGCGGTACTGCCGTGTTGTTCGCGAAGACGGAACTGCAAATGACACCCGCCGCTCTAGCATTGATCAGTCTGGTCGGGACCGTCGCAGGGATTTTGGGAGCATTTTCCTGGAACAAAGTTGTACGTATTTTCGGACTGATTTCTTCTCGATGAGTACCGCCACTGGAAACGTGATGCATGTTTCTGAGGCTTTCCGAGAGCTAAGGGCCCTTTTTACTTCCCATCCTCGTCTCAAAAGTTGAATTGTCTTGAAGAATTGAAACTGACTCTGAAATCCCAATCACAGTCCCAATTGTTGGGCATCCCTCCGTCAAAAACGATTATCGCTTGTATATGTCTTTTCGAAATAATTCCAATATATGGGCTTCTAGGATATATACCTGCCATAAGACGCTTTGGGGTGTTCGGTCTCCAGGTATGCATAGTTTGGCAAGGGCTTATTCTTCTTGTTGTGATTGGAGATTTCGTGTCTTGAAATGGGTTTCTTACTGCGTTGTGCTCTCTTCATCTGGTTCCTCACTCGACCTTTTGTTATGAGAAGAGTATGCTGACTTCCGAATCCTCGTTAGCAACCGTGGGAGATGTATCCTCTCGGTGCCATCTATGGCATCGTTCTTGGAGGGCTTTCTTCGTACTGTCGTAGTCTCTTTGGAGAGCTCATACCTCCAGGATCTGAAGCTGCATTCTACGCTTTATATGCAATCACGGACAAAGGCTCAAGCGTTTTCGGCCCAGCCATTGTTGGTGTGATTACAGATCGATATGGGGAGATACGTCCTGCGTTCGTGTTTCTGGCTGTACTCGTATTCATACCGCTGCCTCTGATGTTGCTGGTCGATGTTGATCGAGGGAAAAGAGATGGTGCTGAAATGGCAAAGGAGCTGGAAGGAAAGAATGATATTACTCAATCCAGGAGCGAAGATGTTATCCGGCTGGTTGATGAAGAGGAAGACGAATGACCAATCCCGAATTGAGCGATGGTGTTGAATGGGTATGGGAGCTGTATTGTGGCTTTATGCCCAGCCCCGTAACACTGTTAGACTTTGATATCCTTGTCAAATTGAAACGTGAATATATTGAATGGCTTGCGCCTCACGAAGCTTTGGCGAATACTCAAAATGCGACATAGGCGTAAAATGGCATCTCAAAGGATTGTTTCCAACAAAAAAGTCGCACTAGGGGCTCGAAGTCGAGATCGATAATCATGGCCACAGGGACCAAGTTACTACCCATGAGACATGCATAAGAGAAAGACGTGCAATTCAACTCAGGATCATTCGCACTGGGGTTTCGGCCATCTATGTTGAACCATTTCAGTGGAGGATGCGATCGTCCTACGCGATAGAACGGCTAACGAGCCCTTGCTGTGGTTTTACTGATACAACGGGCTTCCATGCTTTCCCTCAGTACTGACACGAACGCCATTCGTTCCTGCTCATCAATGTCCCCATTCCAACGCCTAATCGTGCACACCCCATTTCCCTACCTCCTCCATTGCTGCCTTTCCACCGTCTTTTAACCTTTCCTCTCCCAGCACTCCACTGACACAGGCCCAACCACTTCTTCCGCCTCCCCATTTCAGCACCTCCTCTTTATATCTCTCTCCTGCCTCTCTGTCCACCGCCCTACCATCCTTTCCTCCGCTAAAGACTTCCTTCCATACCTTCCCTGCAATAGCTCGATCGAAAAGGTAACTATAGTAGGTACCCCCATACTCTACCAAATGTCCAAAAAAGCCCTGCGCGTTCGTGCCTCGAGGCTCCCGCACGCTACTGTATTTATCGTAAACGTCGAAGAAAGCTTTCGTGCTATCAAAGCCTCCGTTCATGTCGACCGGAAGCGAAGAGTGGTAAGCTTGATCTAGCAAACTAAACAGGATCTGGGTCTCCGTTTGGACACCCTGTCCTCGTCCATGCATCAGCAATGAATTTTTGACCATCTCATACGGCAAAGATGCGCCGGTCTCCCAGTGACGTGCGAAAAGCGCAAGTACCGAAGGATCCGAGGCGAAATACTCCATCAGGACCGAAGGGAGCTCCGCGAAGTCGGTGGGGCAGCGAGTGCCGGCGACGACCTGCAGAGATGTACGGCCAAGAATTGAATGGATGGCGTGGCCCATTTCATGGAAAAGCGTTTTGACGTCCTGAAAGCCAAGCAGCGCGGGAACTGACGAGTGTGGCGGGTGAGGAAAATCACAGATCAAAGCTAGTACCGGAAGTTGATAGTACTGGTGGTTATTGATGAAGGACGAAACTGCCATGCCATCATTGGCATCCTGTGGAGAGTCTGGCCCTTCACCAGTCTCTGAAGGGGAGATAAGACGCGAGCAACGAAGGGTGAAATGTGTGGGATTTGGATTCTTGCCAGCACGCGCGAAAAGGTCGCAATAAAGTACTGCGACGTGGCCGTCAGTCTCGTGTAGAACGTCCAGACGACGCACATCAGAGTGCCACGTTTCTCCGGGACTGGTACTACGAGGGACAAAACGGATGCCGTAAAGCCGGTTGAAGAGGCGCGAAAGCCCTTGCATCACTGTGCCCAGAGAGAAGTAGGCCGGCATGAAATCGGGGTTTCGAGACTTTGGTTTCAGATCAACGTTGAGACGATTTCGATAGTAGATCAGGTCCCACTGCTCAATTCCCGTAGAAATGCCATCTGCTGCTTTCATCTGCTTCATTCGCACCAGTTCTTGCATTACGCGCGGAGCGTTATCCGCGGAGAGCGCTGTGAGAAAAGAAACAACGGCCTCGGGTGACTTAGCCAGCTTATCAGACAAGTTCATGTGAGCATAGCTCTCATGACCAGAAAGATTTGCAATCTCAACGCGGGTCACCATCAGCCTTTCGAGCAGCTTAGTCTGCTTCCTCGAGGACTGTCTTCCTGCGATGTAGATCTCTCTTCGTGTCGCTTCGTCCTCCACGGTTCCCAAAGCCGTATATGGCACATCCCCAACAGTGGGCAATCGTATCCTCTTACGCCCCTCAGAGTATCGCGCGAGGATCAACGGATCCATACCTTTCAGCTGTCTAATATCAAAGTCGAGGTAAGACGTTGTCGGAGTCATACTGTCCAGAAACTCGTTTCCCAATGCCTTCATCTGGTTCGACAACTCTACGAATCTTCGCCTCTTTTCGGCAGGCAATTCAATGGCAGAGTTCGAAAAGTCTCGAAGCAGGATCTGGGCCACCATTTTCTCTTCCTCATTCCACGATCCCGAGGCTCCATGTGTCGAGATAGCCTTCCTGAGTTGGGCGTTTAATCCGGGAGTGGTATTAAGAACGTTCATATAATCGAAGAGAAACGCATAAGCCTGGATGGCGGCTTCTTGATACTGAGCATCTGGATGTGTGCAGCGTACAAAATCTGCAATATCGAGGACTCGACACAAGGAATCGCTGAGAAGGTCAAGTTGTCTTGGTATGGCTGCGTATGCCTCAGTTGAGGCTGCTGACAAGACATCATCCACAATTTTCTGACACTTCTTTTGCGTGACCTGGGCGTATTTGAGGAAGCCCGAGGGCTCTATAAGGTATTGGTTCTGGAACAAGCCACGTGAAGGTCTTGCTAAGTCGGAAAAATGGTGCTGAGAAAACTGCAGCCAGTCATTGTGAGAGTCGAATATCTGGCGCAAGGTGGTATCCTCAAGGCTTCTTTCGTGACTGGTGGTAGACGAAAATCGACTTTGCTTGGGGCCAGCAGTCGCGGTTGCTGCCGCGGCAAGTAGGCCGCGAGGTGTGTAGAAGTGAAGAGCATTCCGAAGGGATGGCGTTGATAGGCGACATGGTAAATTGATCATGTCCTTGCTTCTATACAACGTGAATGCCGGACCTCTTCATGCATCCTCATATCCTCATCTGAAGTAACAAAACCTTCGAACTTGTATTCTCGTACTTTAATGTTTATTCCGATTATTACCGCTAAAGAGAACGCTAAAGTAACTATGGCTAGTGAGCGGCGCTGTGATGAATGGTGGGGAAATTCGAGTATGTAGGTACTCAGTACAGGAAAGAAGAACTTCGTCCTACATCTTGACACCCACAAGCATAAGACAAACACACACCGTTCCATTTCTTGCCTCGTGTCCAGTCTTACACCATGGCGTCTGACTCAAAAGACTCCGCTTTTGGCATCCTCGGCTCCTCGAAGCTCAACACCGCCGACGGCAAGAATCCCACCTCCTCCGCCACCACTTCTATGTCAACTCAGGCAGGCACAGCTAGCGGTCAAAAGAACACCGAAGAGTACAGACAGGTTCGTACATCCCGGAGTAAACGTTATTTGTTTGGGGTTAAGGGGAGCAAAAGTGTCCTCCTACTCTTGAGAATTTGTTTCATTACCCAGGTTCTTGGCTTGAAGGAGCAATGCTGACTCCGAATTCTGCGTAGGAGTGCAGCAAGGCTCATGATGCTCTAGAGGATCGTCTACGCGATGAGGAGAGGGAAAGGAAGTGGAGCGGGAGGTGGTGAGGTACAAGTGAAAGTGATAGAGCTCCGCCAGTGTCTGAGGAAGCAGTAGGAGTGGTGACATGTGGGATGGAGAGCTGGGGCAATTGGCTCATGTTCAATATTCCAAGGAAGCAAAGGATATCTTATGTGATGGCTGAGGACAGGTTGAGCGAGAATTCCTTCAGTATGACGAAAATGAATTACAAGTGGCATGATTCCCTATTCCTATCATATTCTTATCGACGTTTGCAAGCTTATCCAATTGTTTGGAGCGTCTGTCTAGACTCAGAAAAGTGTCCACGTAATATCAGCTTGACGGCCTGCAGCCCGCTTGCGGACGTGTAAGCACAAGACACCCTCTATCACGCCCCGCCTTTGGTGTAGACCTCATAAGGCGCACCTACTCCCAGAGCGCGTCTCGCATCCAAGCCCAGGAGGGAGAGGCCATGCAGATAACTTGCGTTTGTCCACCCAAAACTACTCCCTCAGATCAGCGGTTGTGTATCTAAACATCTCGGAAGCATTCACGCGACTCACCCTTCCTCTGGAGCGTACTTGAAGCTCAGTCCTTGGTTCCCATACTCTGCCCCTACGCGGTGGGGGCTCTTGAGCTGCGTGACGTCGTATTTCTCGACCACAGTACCATTGTAATCCACGAAAACCTTGGTGATCATGTGAAGCCAGCGGTACGCTAGTCTCTCGGCCTCCTCGTGATAACCATATTTCCTCAAGCCATCCCAAGCCAGAATTTGATGAGGAGCCCAGCCATTAGGATAGTCCCATTGCTTCTGAGGATTCGCTGCATTGACCGGGCCACGAGAATTCTCTGTATTCGAAGAGAGACCACCCACACATTCGAATTTGGGAAGGCCTTTTTCAACGAGTAAAGCCGCTTGATGCGGACTAGCTACCCCGCACCAAAGAGCCCAGAGGCTTGTCACCGTCTCATACTCAGTTTGCTTCTGAGTCACCGAGTTGTAGTCAAAATAGAGACCCTTCTCTTCATTCCACAAATACCTATCAATTAATCCTTTTCTCTTTTTGGCAGAAATGTCCCAAACGGCGGATGACTCGAAACGATCCACCACCTGACCGGGAGCACAAAAATCAGCAGGTACTTGAAGAGTGTCCTCGAAGATGGTCCGAATCGCCTCCGCGATGTCCATTTCGTATCGATAGAGCAGACAATTCAAATCTATCGTTGCTAAGTCTGCGCAGACTCCCACGAATCGATTCGACGTATCATGGCCACTTTCCCTGAGTGCTCTGTCATGGAGGAAGAAGGTGTCAAGCTCAGGCTCTTGGATTTTACCATTGGTGTATGCCTGTCCAATCTCAGTCATCGTCATGTTGTGCTTCGCGGCGTAAGGTTCCAAAATGTGGTCAAACCCCGTTGACTCAACTTCTGGAGGGATACCAATCCCAATGGGCCTGTATCTGGTGAGTCCAGTGCCTTCGTCGTATCTGGGAGCCGTCATCCAGTAATTGTAATACTCCTTCATTGCGGCGAGGATTGCCAGCTTGAGAAGGTCCTTGGATCCAGGCTCATGTTTGGTCGCATTGTAAGTTTTCAAAGCTAGATCTGTGAGGAAAGGGGGCTGTGCTCTGCCAAGGTAGTACGACCGGTTCGCATTGAGTATTTTGCCATAGTGTTTGATCTCGAAGATAAAATGTCGTAGGATCGACTTGACAACATGTGGATGCGTATCTATCATTGACGTAGCACAGAAACAGCTATCCCAGTTGTAGAGTTCGTTGAATCGTCCTCCAGGTACAACGAATGGGAGTCCTATGAGTTCTTTGCGTCCATTCGAGTCATTTCCCTCCATCTCAAGCGCCAGAATGCCAGGCTTATCGTTCAAGCTCCTGATGAACTCAGCCGTGATGTCGCTTTCTGGAAGCCATTGTACGTCCAAGCTTATGTCTGGCATTTCCCGCGCAAGCTTCGAATAGTATGCGTGCTGTAGTGGTACGCCATGCGGTACATAGATTCTTGGGTGAGAGTCCGCAGCCTCGCGGGTCTTGGGATCTCTCGCTGCAACGGCGATGCCAGAGCTATCGATGTTCCTCTTCAGGTTGTCCCACCAGCTGGTTTTGATCAATCGCTGGAGACGATCGACTGGATCCTCAGTGACTTTTTCCAAGTCGACTTCCAGAAAGTCCTCCCCCTTCTTCTGCGCCAGGAATAGCTCTTGCAGGAGATTTGCTAGATGATACGTACCTTTGATCTCAATCTCTTGAGTTGCATCATGCTTCAGAGGTTTCAAGAAGAAAGACTTCGTTTGATGACCAAAATTAGCATCCTTTCGATCTACACCTAGAGAACATGACACACCTTTGGTCCGCAGTCATCGACCGTTATCAGCCCATCCCCATCTGTATCCTCTCTCCATAACAATTTTTCTCTTGTAGTATTCACGGCTACTACTAGCTTTCCTTTCGTGCTAGTGACTTCATTTGTAAGTACCTCATAGTATCAGTCGACCCGCCCGGATTGGTATCAATGAAAGTAGGGCGATACCGTTGATACCATGTTTACTTTGTTGCTGCGTAGATGGTAAATCCCTTTCAAGGTGCACAGCACTTTTTGACTAGAATTGACACCACCACACGGTCAGTCAATGGGTGACTGCTCGTGTTTTTATAAGGAAGCCGGAAGAATGTGGTATAAAGCGAGAAAGTAGCCCGAGAACAAGCAGAGAAAACACGCCTAGAATTATTTTGACTTGAAGACTCGATGGGCCCCCAGAAGGTTGGTTTCAGGAGCAGGCCGGTACGCATAGGAACAAAAGAATGGAATGGATCAAATAGCTGCATAGAGTAGAAAAATTGACACGAAATACCGCCATACATTGCTCGAATCCTTCTGCGTTGTGCTTCCAGGGTTCCTTTCCAACTCAGCCGCTAGGTGTATATCCAGAGTCCTGCCAGCGTTCTCTGCATTCAGATCTGCCGATGACATCGTAATAGCTGCAAATTGTTGCGTCTTCCAATCTGACAAGAACCAGCCAGCAAGTGTGTAAAGGGGCAGATACTGTGGTACAGAATGAAGAAGAGCTAATGCTATGGTTTCGAGCACAGACAACTCAAGTCAATCAAAGTCACTTGTGATCAGGCTGGATGTCAGAAAGAAGTAGAGAAGCTATCGGCTGTATTTGGATAAATTAGGTATTCCAAGCACGACGAAAATCGAACCTATCCCAATTGTTGATGACAGATGCTTTTTACGGTCTTATCTTCTCAAGAGGTTTGGAAATTTCAAAGGCAAGACAGCGGAAGGTTGTGTTGGAAAAAGTTGGTGCTTGACCCTTCAAGGCGGGCAGTTTGAGAATTGGTCTCCCCGTGTCACAGATATGGGCAACGTATACCAATCGGAGGAAAGACTCGAAAATACTCGTACTCACAGTGCCCAGAGAAATATTGGAGCTGCTAGTGGTCAGCTCAGTCCGAGAATGCAGGGGATCGATTGACATTAAGGGAATAGGTATGGCCCACGGACGATTTTCTACTACTTACTAATACTATGACTCTCTCCTGTGTTAGAAGAATATCGATGTTTATGCGAGATGGCTTGTTCAAGAATACCATAAATGTGGTTGCTTGGAAGAAATGACTTTGAATTGATGAGAGGGTTGGGACCCTTTCTCTTGACCCTCCTGTTGTCATCTTCATTGCTTCCTTCGGTCTGTATAAATACGGAGGATTCGCGAAAGTGCACTTGTCGTTCATGGAAAATGCATAATACATTAACATAATTTATGTGATCAGATATGCGTCAATGGCAACACCGACCATGTCCTGCTCCAAAGGGCAAAGAAAGCGCTGCCGTATCATAGGATTTAACGACTCCCAGATTCCATCGCTCTGTACTCACGACGCCCCCTTGTGCTCTGCCAACCTTGAATAGAACTGCTGGTATTAGTAGACAGGCCGACCCTCGTCCCACTTCCTCTTCTCAACCATCTCCCGTCCTTCCACCTCCATGGGACTCGACCTATCATCAGGCGTCCCCTTGACTACAGGCCCCAAAATCACCCTTTTTTTTGCTCCACCACTCCATGCACCATCTTCAAGTAGGCCAACACTGCCAATCCATTCCCACACTCTTGACACGTCCCCGCCCCGGCCTTCTCGGACGCTGGCTCTTACGTTCGCATTTCTCTCGACTACTGCTCGCACTCGTTTCCACATACCTTCGCGCCTTTGATCGCTGAATTCATCTCGGAGAACATCATCACGCAGCTGTCCTACACTGATCCAGCTTTCGGCTGCATCTCCCCTGGCATGCAAAGCCGCTTGCGTGGCGAGACGGTCGAGAGTAGTGGCAACTAATGAGGGAACACGAGCTGTATCGTTACGGGACGTGAGAATAAGCGAGCGGATGTAGAGAAGAGCGATGCCGAACAGGATTATGATGGAAAGAGAGAGTCGATATCTTGCCAGCGTGAGTCGCGCGGATCTTTTGATGGCGCAGGAGAGGGGGAGGCGGGTGAGGGAGGTGCTGCTGAGGTGGAGATGTGTTCTGCGGGTGGGATGAGGTATCTGGTTAGTTTTTTGGTCAGATGTTGGTGGATTCGTTTTCATAAGCACGAATGTGACGCAAGAAGAATCGGCAAATGCAGAGGAAAGTGAACTTACCCATCAGAGGAGAAAACGACCTCTTCTCGGCCAATGATCTCCCCTATGGCACCCTTCCACAGAGATTCGAACTCTGCTGCGTCCATATTTCGTCTTCTCTTCTTGCCCACTTCTCTTTTCAAATCTTCTTCATCGATCTCCACAGGTACATCTTTGCCTTTGCTATTCTTCAAATTCCCACATTCAGCCTGCGCTTTTCGCTCCCTCAATTCTTCCACGGCTCTGTCCGCCACAGCTTTTACTCGTCGGACTTTCTCGCCGTCTGGCTCACAAGATGGCGGCAGTGGCACTAGGCCTTTTAAAGACAGTGGGTGTGGCTGTAGAACGAAGTCGTGCTCACATCTGGTCTCCATCCCTTGAGAGCAGATTGCGTGCTGAGGGCAAGGCTCACATGTCGGCTGCAGCACCTCTGCCCATTCAGGTAGTTGGACAGTCGATAGAGCATTGAATTGCCTGCCAATACCGCAGTAGCCAACAGCTAGCTTTTCCTGACGCCACCATGTAGCATACCCTCCGAGTAAAGCCACAAGGACTACCCATGGCGCGGACTTAGGGATTGTGCGAGGTTTCCGTGGGCGTTTCTTCTTCCGAGGTGGGAGGATGTCCAATTCTCCGTTTGCCGCACGTCCTCTGACCAACTCCAGCTGTTCTTCGGCTGTGAACTCCTCACCAGCCTCGATCCCATCCGTTGGCTCGTCTTCGCTAGCGGACTGCTTCAGCCTAGAAACGGGAACTTCGAAAGTCTTGGAAGTTGGGGCAATTATTCCATCCTGCTGCTTTGAAGAAGATAGAACCCCTTCGATCCTCCGCCTGCTTGAGTAACTCTTTCTCTTATCACTGCTTCTACCACCGCTCTTCCGTCTGTTTTCCCCTGGAGTTAAAGGGGAGCTACCGCTCTGGAAAGGGTTCTCATCGCTGAAAACACCACCCCTCATCGGCGGTCGCACTGGTGTATCTTCTGGATCTTGGACCTTCACCACGGGTGTAGCCTCGCTCTTACGGCTTTTCCGTACAGATGTACGGATTGGTTCTAAGTCAGGTTCAGTGTCCGATTGCCGGGCGTGCTTATTGGAGCTTCTTCGACCGTTTGATGCTTTTGTAGTGACGGATGACTCTGATACGGTGGGCTCCACCGATTGGCGTGTGCTCTTGCGTGGTTTCCTTTGTCGTGGAATATCAGGCACTGGCGGAGGCAGCATCGAGCCGGCATCGTCGTCATCGTCAGCGTCACCATTTAATGTCCCTTCTTGACTCCTCGGCATGTCTGTAATGCCCCTACTTGTGCGCCTGACTCTGTCTCGATCCGCTAATATCTTACGCGCCTTGGGCTTAAGCTCTTGATTGAAGATGTCGACGAGCTGCGGCTTCTTGGCTGAAGCTGGGTAGGGAATGTCGTGTGACATTAAGATATTTCGTAATCGTGGCATGGTAACAGACACAGGGTCGAAGGAGGGTGATAGATATGCGAGGTCATCCTCTGCTGAAGCCATGGTTTCGACCTAGGGCAAAGCCTTGCCTTTCACTCTCTTTATGCTTGCCGTGAGAGGTTGGTGAGGAGTGTGTGATATGAGGGTGAGAAGTTCTATTGTGATCATAACCATGAATTGCAACACTATCTAGCTATGATAGAGCTGACACTGGTTAGCAAGCGCGACTTTCTTTGTTTGTCTGCGTTGGAGGCAGCCGCGGAGGAGATTAAGGTCTGAGACTTTCAGCCACAGTGTTGCCACAATGTTGCCACCGTGGGGTACTTTAAAAGACTAGCACTTTTCGTATTATTCGTGTTTTGAAGCAAATGCCCCATCTTATTAGTATCGTGGAGAAGACTGATGAATGAATCTTTACAGCGCCTACAGCCTGCCTTGGTGACGTTTCGTTTGAGGTAGCTTGTCACGTTCCGTACTAGGTAATCACGCAAGCTGAAAACGAGTATTTTAAAGGTAAACATCCAGGTAAGTAATCCAATTGTACTGCCAACCCCCTCGCATTTAAGCGGGCTCGAAGGGTATCTCCTTCTTCCCGGGAAATCTTGTCCATCAAATGCTTGAAATCCTCGACATATCCACAGGGCTCAGCCGTTGATTGCCGGCATGGGCAGTATTAATTTTCTTTGCTGATCTCAGGGACAGTTGAACGTAAGCCTGGTGCAGCATTACCATAAGTGTTTCAGAAGATTGCAGTCGTTGATTTTGCTTGTTGCAGACCTCGGTCCTTTGCCGGTCAGAAGTAAGGAATCGATATTGACGGTGATGTGTCTTGGGGCTACCCTGCTGTAACGTAGGGCTATGTGATACACTGTCCTTCAGGCACAATCATCGTGTGGAGCGGCAACCGAAACAAAAATACTATGAGATTAACGCAGAGATTCCTCGAAGGTCGTTATGAAACGTGCAAAGCTTCGTACTCTCACGTCAACCTGCCCAAGACCATACCAACGCCTCATTTCATATCAATAGTCCCAAAGCCTTTGCTGCATCCGTTATGTATTGATCTGTCCTTGTATGCGCCTATGATCATCTAATGATTCCATCGCCGCCCTTTTTCCCTGGCGGTGGGCCCATAGGAGGTGCGTAGTCGTAGACAGGCTCTCCACCACGCTGCGGCGCAAAGGCACTTTCTGGCTGCTGCAACTCCACACCTTGCTGTTGACCTCCAAAATAACCTTGATTTTGTTCGTGACCTTGGTTGTAATGCCCTTGGTTCGAGACGGGAGGAGAGTATACGGGTGGTACTTGGTTATTATTGGCAAAATATGGCTGAGGGGAAGCGCCGGTGTATTGAGCTGGTGCGTGGCCTGGCGGTGTTGCGCCTGCGGCCCAGCCAGTGCCGCGGTAGGGTGAGTTACCAAGACGGCGACGTCGGCGTGCTGTAATACATCTGAGCAGCTATCAGTACGGATGTCTCTATATGACTTCATATAAAGTGTCGCGTGGCTTACGAGAATATCACGAAAATAAGAAAGGCACCAATCACAATGACGGCGAGCAGAATCCTAAAGCTGATCAGCTGCTTTCCAATGCGCGGTTTTTTCAAATGGTAGTCTACCATCTTCCGTAATTGGACCAAGGGCTGGTGCCGTAGTAGCTGCAGTTGCTGTCGTAATCATTGCAGCTGGTAAAAGCTAGGTTAGCTTATCGATTCCGCGAATGAACCCACAATCCAGGACGATGTCTGTCAAACACGACTTACTTGTTGTATCTAGGGATGATTGCCATCGTGGTCGTGGAATGAGTACTGATCGACGCAATGAATGGTATGTTCGTCGAAAGACAGACCGCTGGTGGGTGCAGTGAGGTGGTGGAATGGTGAAGTCGGGTAGAATCAGAGGTCAGTTGAGCGACTCTATATCTATCCTGGCTTAACGATTTGGTTGAAAGGGGATAGGAATATTTGAAGTATAGCAAGAGTCTGTGGGCCTTTTGTGGCAGTCAATATTGAAGTGGCGTAGGCCACGCAAGAGCAGGGCAATGCTCGATTGTTGTCATCATCATGCAGCTGGAAGGAGTCTAGCTCTGTGGGCTAAGCCTCTACTAGCGTATATCCCTGCCGAAAGCGCTAGCGCATCTTACGGCAGGGATTTTGCGGCTAGCCAGCGCATTCCCCGTTCGTGTTGATGAAATCTTTTGCGACGTGTATCATTTCTCCTTTCTTCAACCTCTTTATAATTATACAAAAATCAACATGGTAAACATCCATGTTATATCCGTGGCGGTTGAAGGCACATATCGTGCTTCTCAATTTTTCCGGTACAGAAGCACCGGATCCACGAAGATCAACCCCAAGCTCGTTTAGCTGCTTTACATGCAAACCCCAAAACATCCTCCCACCAGGGTCAATCATACATTGATGAAGAGGATCGAAAGAATAAGACAAACAGAAATTTCCCGGCAAAGTGTGAAACAGGATCGCTCCGAGCATTGAAAGTTTATCTTGCCATTGCTAGCATGCATCTTCTCGTTGCTTCATCAACGTCGTGAACGCTCAACTCGTAACTAAATGTCGTTGTCAGTCGTGCAGGGCGTCGTCGAAGGTCATGCAATTCTCTTATATGGTCTTCTCAGTGAGCTGTCTTGTTGATCAGCCATTCCAAGACAGCATCAAGATTCGTTTCTTCCTTCGCGCTGATTCCATAGCAGCTGACTTCGCGGTGAGAAATGGCTTTCATGTTCAGTGCTTCGATCAACTCATCGACCGAAAGCTTATCGGGCAAATCAGACTTGTTTCCCAAAACGAGCAGAGGAATTCCGTCCAAGACCGGCTTTTCAAGTAAGGCGTGGAGTTCTTCCATCGCTACTGGCATGGCAGCCTTATCTGCCGCGTCCACGATATACCTGTGAATTATATCAGGATCGTTTCACCAATGCACGAGATGGCGTACCCACACGATGGCGTTGACACCCCGACAATACCGCTCCCACATGGACCGAAATCTGGGCTGACCACCGAGGTCCCAGCTAGAGGAATGTTATGCCAACCAGCGATCGAGTAATGATAAGTGAACGACCTACCATTTGAGGGTGACGTGGCCTTTCTGGACTCGTTTCATGTTGAAGCCCACTGTGGGAATAGAACTTTTGGGATTCCGAAGTCAGACGGGATATCTGAAGCAATTACTGTCGACCTACTCTATGGTAAATTCTCCACCCTGGCGAGTATCGCATCAGCAATTCTCCACATACATCGTCTCTGGATCTTACCGCAAGGACTCGCAGGAGAGAGGTCTTGCCAGCATTCTGCAGACCAATCATAGTCACATCCATCTCTGTCGCCCTAATGGATTGAAAATGTCAACGGTACCCTGGACACGCAGATGGCCAGCAGAGCGGTGCATCGTGACACTGGCAGGATGGCGCATATTCTACGACGGATTGCGGTGAGGTGGATCGTGACGGTCGACACGCAGGATGCTACGGAGGGACTTACCAGAAAGTTCGCAACAACCAGTCATAGATAACCTTGAAAAAGCCGGCCATGGCTTCTCGCTGGGATGGTGGCTGGCTTGTGAGGCAGCGGTGGTCAAGCACCAGTCGTTGCCTTTTCGCAGAATGCCAGAACCTTGGTTGACTTTGCGTCGCGGAGGCTGGAGCAGAAAAAGCAAGCGGGAGGCGGGGACTTTGCCCTTATCGTCGTAGCAGTAAATTTGCAGCTGGTGCAAGATAATACCTTACCTAAGGTTAACGATAGAGCAGGCTAAGCAAGAAACTCGATTATCGAGCTAAATGGGGGTATTGGGTATTCGTAAAAGATAGAAGATAAAGAGTGATATTGCGCTCTGCTCTGCTGCACCAGTGCCTTGCCTTTTATTTTTATTTTTTGTGTGTGCAGGTGATGCAAACTGCACAGGCCTTGTTTAGGCGCCGATGCGGGCGGTGGGGGATGGTTGCAGAAGGCAGAAAGTGAAAATAATGATCCGGCTTCTTCCCTGCAGTACGAGTACGGCGGACGAAGGCTGACACTACGACAAAACTAAATCTTTTCCATACTCTCCGCCATACTCTTTATCACACTCTCCGCGATATTCTCTACGACACTCTCAATTAGACTCTGAATCTAAGATACTCTATAAAACATCCTAAAGAGCATCTCTGAACAAATATTCCTCGAAGAATATCTCTTAAAGAGTACCTCGGATAGTATCTCGAAGAGTACCCCGAAGCGAACGTGGGAGAGTACTCGGAGAGTACTCGTAAGCGTACCCCGGAGAGTACCCCGGAGTAGACCTCGGAGAATACCCGAAGAGTACCTCGAAGCGTACCTCGGAGAGTACCCCCTAAAGAGTGCCTTCAGAAGTGCTTCGAGGAGAATATCTTAGTGAGATTATCTTAAGGAGAGTATTCTATGAATATCATGAAGAGAACTCAAGATATTAGAAGCTGTAGATAGTAGAAATCGTAAAGGAAGAAAATAGATGAAGAAAAATTTAATGATTTGGTTTTATCGTAGTGTCAGCCTTCGTCCGCCGTACTGCAGCTCGCTTGTCGCAATCCCTGTACCGTGATCTCCGTGAGTACTCTAATCGTAAAATAATGTACCTAAAATACAAAGTATTCAAGGTATACTTCATTTTTTTTTGCATCTAACTCCGCATTACAGTGAAGAAGCTGGACAAACAATCAATCCCGTTTGCCCATTATCACCCTCTTCGCGCCCAAGGCGACAGTACCGAGAGATGCTCTCTTTGAAGAGTCTGTGATTTGGCCTGTCTACAGAAGAATGCCATCTTCTTCTGCTGCCTTCCCCACAGACACCCAGTGGACCGCCCATTTTGACACTGTACGGAGAGAGACGCTCTTTAAACATCCCCCAAAGGACCATACACCCTATCCTGCACTTGCAGAGGCAATTCATCCTCACATCAATTCCTTCAACGCGCTCTTCGATGAAAGCAAGCTTCTCGAGGCTGGCTTGAAGGACATCGGAGCCAAGAGCTTCCTGGATGGCGAACAGGAGACACCACAGCAGAGGGCGCAGAGGCTCGAGGATGGAAGATCACGCGAGACGAGGAATAGCTTCAGTGTCAGAATACGAGAACTCTTTCTGGACAAAGCTGTACTTCCTCCGACCAACAAATTCAGCACCAAGAATCGAGATATATACCCTGCCGAGTGCAGGGAAAGACACGCGACTTACCGAGGCAAGCTAAGAGCACGGGTGGAGTATAGACTGAACGGAGGCGAATGGCAGGATACGATTAGAGACATGGGTCAAATCCCTGTAATGCTCAAGACGAACCGATGCCACCTCGAAAACAATACCCCGGCGCAATTGGTCCAGCATAAAGAAGAGTCCGAAGAACTTGGAGGCTACTTTATCGTGAATGGCATCGAAAAGCTCATACGGATGCTAATCGTGTCGCGGCGCAACTATCCAATGGCTATCGTTCGTGGTTCTTTCGTCAACAGGGGATCAACGTACACCAAGTACGGCATGCAGATTAGATCTGTACGTCCGGATCAGACATCTCAGACCAACGTGCTCCATTATCTCAACGACGGTAATGTCACATTTCGTTTCTCATGGCGGAAGAATGAATATCTGGTTCCGGTGATGATGATCTTGAAGGCTTTGGTCGAGACGAATGATCGTGAAATTTTCGAAGGACTCATCGGTGTCGCTGGGTCACCAGGCACCGATAAAACATTTATGACTGAACGAGTGGAGCTACTGCTTCGGACTTACAAAGCCTACAACCTCAATGGAAAGGCGAAGACACGCTCATATTTGGGAGAAAAATTTAAGCCAGTACTCGGTGTGCCTGATGACATATCAGATCAGGATGCCGGATCTGAGTTCCTGCGCAAAATTGTTCTTGTGCACCTAGGTAATGTTGATGTTACCGAATCTCAGCACAGCGACAAGTTTAAGATGCTGCTTTTCATGATTCGAAAGTTGTATAGCCTCGTTGCTGGCGAATGTGCAGTCGATAATCCGGACGCAGTATCTAGTCAAGAAATTCTCCTGCCTGGCTTTCTCTATGGCATGGTTATCAAAGAGAAACTTGATGATTGGCTAAGATCCATACAAAGCGCTTGTCTGGAGTGGTCATTAAAGAACAACAAGGCTAAATTCACAGATCCCAATTTTCTCAAAGACTTTCCCATCAAGATTCTGAAAAGGACCAACGAGAATCTTGGAGGTCTCCTTGAGTATTTCCTCTCAACAGGCAATCTAATTAGTCCTACTGGTCTCGATCTACAACAGACGTCAGGTTTCACGGTCGTTGCCGAAAAGATAAATTTTTACAGGTTCATCAGTCATTTTCGGATGGTACACAGAGGAAGTTTCTTTGCTCGATTGAAAACCACGACAGTACGCAAGCTACTGCCTGAAAGCTGGGGGTTTTTATGTCCAGTGCATACACCAGATGGAAGCCCTTGTGGATTACTGAACCACTTAGCACACAAGTGCAAAATTACCACATACGATCTTGATGTCTCTGCAATACCTCGGCTTCTGGCTCAATTGGGAGTTTCTGATGATTCTTCCGCTTCCGTGGAAGACAGAGTCGTTGTTCAGCTTGATGGCCGCATCCTTGGCTTCTGCACGCCAAAGCAAGCCCATATTATCGGCGATAGTCTCCGGTACTGGAAGGTTGAGGGTAGTCATGGCGTTCCCAAAGAAATCGAAGTAGGGTATGTACCAAACGCGATCGGTGGTCAGTATCCTGGTGTATACATCTTTTCTCAAGCGGCGCGGATGATTCGGCCTGTCAAATATCTTCCACTGGACAAATATGATTATATTGGCCCTTTCGAGCAGCCCTTCATGTCAGTAGCTTGTACGGAAAAGGAGATCGAATCTGGGGAATCCAGTCACGTCGAGTACGATCCTACCAACATCCTTTCTATCGTCGCTAATCAGACACCTTTCTCGGATTTCAACCAATCTCCCCGCAACATGTACCAGTGCCAAATGGGCAAGCAAGCCATGGGGACTCCCGGAACCTCCATTCGCTACCGCACTGACAACAAGACTTACCGTCTCCAGACTGGCCAAACACCTGTTGTTCGTCCGCCTCTGTACAATGAATATGGTCTGGACAATTATCCGAATGGCATGAATGCTGTAGTGGCTGTCATTTCATACACAGGCTACGACATGGACGACGCTATGATTCTGTCCAAATCTGCCCACGAACGCGGCTTCGGCCATGGCACAATCTACAAAACCAAGATCATCCGACTGGAAGAAAACGAAAGAGGAAATAGAAGCCGGGTCAAATCCGCGAGAACCACCACCAAGCTTTTCGGTTTTGCCCCGAACAGCCAAATCTCAGCCTCCACACGGAGCAAGCTTGACTCAGACGGTCTTCCCTACATAGGCGCCAAAATCAATGAAGGCGACCCCCTATGTGCTTCACATACAGTAACCTTTGACCCTACCAAAACAACGTCAACGCCTTACATTAATCGTGACGGCATCAACACCCTCCACAAATACAAAGACTCCGAAACCGCCTACATCGAAGAAGTCCGCGTACTCGGCAGCGAGACGGGGTCCGAACCCTGCCAAGCTTTGAGCATCAAACTCCGTATACCGCGCTCGCCCATTATCGGCGACAAGTTCTCCTCTCGTCATGGCCAAAAAGGTGTATGCTCACAAAAATGGCCCGCAATTGATATGCCCTTCAGCGAATCAGGCATTATACCCGACATCATCATCAATCCGCACGCTTTCCCCTCCCGCATGACCATAGGCATGTTCATCGAGTCTCTGGCTGGGAAAGCCGGTGCTCTCCACGGGTTTGCGCAAGATTCTTCACCATGGCGCTTCTCAGAGCAAGATACAGCTGGCGATTATTTTGGCGAGCAACTCCGTCTAGCAGGGTACAATTACCACGGCAATGAGCCCATGTACTCTGGCATTACCGGGCGTGAATTCGCTGCGGACATTTACTTGGGAGTTGTCTTTTATCAGCGCTTACGGCACATGGTGAACGATAAGTTCCAAGTCAGGACTACCGGCCCCGTGACGTCGCTGACGGGCCAACCTATCAAGGGAAGAGCAAAGGGAGGAGGAATAAGGGTCGGAGAGATGGAAAGAGATGCATTGTTGGCGCATGGGTGTGCATTCTTATTGCAGGATCGGCTGATGGGATGTAGTGATTACAGAAGGGAGTGGGTCTGCAGAGGTTGTGGGAGCTTCTTAAGCACACAGCCGACGGTTTGGGGAAGTGGTATGGGAAAGAGGGGAAGGGGGACCGGGGTCGTGAGATGTAGGAGGTGCGCAAAGAGGGTGGAAGATGTGCTTGAAGAGGGAAATGAAGTAGGGGTAGGGGAAGAGTGGGAGGACGGCGCGGGAGGCAAATGGGTCGGCGGCGAGGATACGACGATCGTTGCAATACCTGGCGTCTTGAGGTATCTGGATGTGGAATTGAGCGCCATGGGTGTGAAGATGAGATTCAATGTTGGACCTTGACATAGAGTGAAATAGCATTGAATGATGAGATGAGCTATGAAGCCTTATTGGTAACAGGGGCATCCTCCTGCACATTTGATTCACTTTGTGTACATCGATCTCGGGTGCTCCCAGTGGGAATACTTTCGTAAGTCATTATTTCTCGATTTCAAATCCGCACGTCTACATCCACCTTCATGCCTGACTCCTGCTTGCCCCAATGCTTTTTCTTTCCAAGCTTCCTCAAATCCTTGGCCCACACCTCTACTTTTCCAAGGAGATCCTGTCGGAGGACAGTAATCTTCAGCCAGCAATGCTGGATATCTTTGATAGATGACACTCCCGACTCGACCACAACAGTCGGCTCATCGTCTCGTACCACACCCGCCGGGAAAAGGTTTGCAATACCCTCTGCCACTCGACCGACGTATTTGGTCCACCAGGTAAGGTGTCCAGCCAGTTTCGGGAGGCTGTCGTATAGCCCAGCATCTGCCTCGCTAAGATCTGCACCCCATCTCTCGCATAGGATGAGGGCCAACATGCTTCGATCCCGATGACTGAGGCCGTGTGCACCCGCCAGCACACCTGTAGTTGTGCTGCGGAGAGCTGCAGCTGCACGGATGTCCTTGGGCAGAGAGCCATGAAAATAGAGCAAGTTGATCGTTGAGGTGAGCAGCTCACTTTCAACTAAGTCGGGTACAGCATCCCGAAGGAGAGTAGTGAGAGAAGCCGCTGACCTCGGGGCGTAGGGAAGCGTCGATGCCACCAGGGGGCTCTGGGCACGTATGGAAGGGGCCAACCCGGAATAAAGTAGGCCTTCACGTACCCCGCCCTGAGTGAAGGTTACCTTTGAAATGGGAATACCAGCCTGAGCGAGCGCCTTGATGACGAGCTGCACCGCAGGAACTTGCGAAGCGCGACGGGACGAGACTCGGAAAGCTAAGGCGCTCGCTGGAGACTCCTCGAGGTTTGAGAAGAAGCGGGAAGCGCGGACGCTATAACAATTGATGATGGGAATAGGATACGGTTGGATGTCTTCGGTCGACATGAGGATATACCCTCTGCCACGAAAGCCTCCACCGCTTAAGTAAAGTGTGTAACCATGGTTTTGAGAGGCTTCATCCCTTAGACTTGAGGGAATCTGGATGGTCTCCAGACCTCTTTGAAACTTCGATGCAATCTCATCCTGTAAAAAAGCTTCTTTCTGTACGCTCACCTCTGACAACATAGACATCAATGCTGCTGCACCATAAGGGAAGCTCACAGATCCGACGGGACTCATATCCACATCCCCGTTCAGCTTCTTGACCACCCAAGTCATCTGTACAGAGCCCCCACCCATGTCCATGCAGATTCCTTTAACGTGACCGATGCTACTGGCTATCCCCATAGCTCCGAGTCTTCCTTCTTCTTCTTTTGTTAGCAACTTTACTTTCCAGCCTGTTCTTTCCTCAATCTGGCCAAGCAGATCCTCTCTGTTGATGGCATTTCTCGTAGCCTCTGTAGCAACTAGCCTGATATTACTGTCTGGCACCTCAAAATCTTGACACGTTCTCTTGAATTGTAGCAGGACTGCCAGGACCTCTTCAATAACACCCGAAGGTATGGGTGCCTTTGTACCAGTTGCATTCTGAGCGTCGTAGAGGGATATGCCGCAACGGTCTTGATAGATGGTGGGCGTTATTCTGGCAGTTGGAGGAGACAGATCGGATATGGAGAAACGAATGCCATTGCTGCCGATATCCACTAATGCCTGATAGTGCTGGCTCGAGGCGGTGGAGACCATACTTGGATATCTCAGGTAACTTATCGGATGTTCGCGCACGCACAGGGAGAAAATACAGAGAAAGTCGACAGCCCCCGACGAATCCCCATGGCTACTGCACCCGGCAACGACATCGTCAATCAGTAGGAGCCAACCCAGCTGGCGTGACCAAGAAGCAAAAACAACAGCAAACATGCAGAAGAGGCTTATCCAGGCCTCCTAGATAACATCAGTGCAAATGGGTCGCATAGTCTCATTTATTCTGGCCCTCGAGGTGAATCTACCATGCTGAGCAGCATACAGTATACAGACTACGTTAACTTCTATGGTAGGCACCTATCAACTACATCGCATGTTGTTCGACCATTCCCAATGAGTTCCCTACACCGGTTTTAGTAAACCTATCCAACTTCTCATCACTCGTCCAGGAACCATTGAGATCCAACCAGTCCACAACCCTGAAGAGAACCAGGCCTTCCACATCATGTTGAATCGCTCCGACCTATGCTGTGCCAATTTCATACTTTCTGACATATTGTACATGTCCTCGTCCTAGTCCTTAGCGTTGCATAAAGACGTGGTGGCCTTTCGTCAACAATGTCAGCCAAAGCACCAGTGCGAATAAGATCATCAGACCCAATTAGTTGTACAAACCCATCACTCCCGTGGAATTTCAAGCGGCCTGCATCAATATATTGCGAAATGTACGTACCATCGGTCGGCCTCAACGCCATGGAAAATTTCTGGCGCTGTCTGAATCAGATCCACAGCGATTTCTTTCCACAGATGTGACGGCATCCATCCAAATACGCGCGGCAAGAAAACATGCTTGCGTCAAGAAATGACTCACGAACTGCCACCACAAAAATGGCCGGGAAAATATGCCATAGATAAGTTCAGATATTGAACGATATATGACACATTGGAAAAAGCTATCACAAGATATACTACACGAGTTTCAAGGTCAGTACTGCTTTTTCTTTAAAGTAAACGATTGAGTTGCAACAGAGGTCTCGGGAACAGAAAAGGTCAGTTTGCTCCGAAGATATGTCTTACGACTCAATTTCGTACCAAATATGAAGGATCATCTCGAAAACGTGCGTACCCTGAATGTCGGACCATAGTTCTCTTCACCCACCTCACTCTCTTGTCCTTCTCCACCTGGTTGGTTGACCACCCTATTCTTATTTGAGCCATGCAGCTTGTCGAGCTTTCGGTTTTCCCAGACTAATAGGCATCTCAACCCGAACGCTAGAAAACCGGTGAAGAAGGTAAAGGCTGCACTGATAGCCATGCCCTTGATGTATCTTGGACTTTCGTTCATGGGAAAAGAATTTGTTCCCAGAAGAGGCTTTTGAGGATTAGCAAAGGTTGACATGGAAGGGCCCAAATACTTACACCACATTGGCCAATCAGGTTCAGAAGCACGATTCCCATACCTCTAGTGATCTTGGGCTCAGCATTTCTCTTCATCGCGAACATAGAAGTAAAGGGCAGATCCTGCAAGAAGAGTCCCCAAGGAGCGTGCTTTACGACTCAAGTTGCGCTACTCAATTGGAGAGAACACCTCAACAGCGGACTTACCGTCTCGTGTCACTACCTTGGTTGTCTATATTTATTAGCCAATGATCTCATGAATCCAAATGGCTCAAGACATACTTGTTACCCAGGGTAGTATATTTGCTATGCCTGAAGGCGAAAGCGTTAGCGAACTGGCGGTTGCCCAAGAGCAGATTGAATTACTCACTTGGAAATATGCCGGACGCTGCTAGGAATACCCCAAAGTATCTCACACCGACAGATTTTACAGTGGCCAACATGATGTAACCAATCCCGCCAACTGTAGTGAGGACCATAATCGTGTAGCCTCTCTGTTGGGTCTTGTCCGCAACCCAAGTTGAGAGAATAGTCACAAGGAATGAAACGAAAAATGGAGGGGCGGTCAGACCCTGGGAGTCAATTGCATTGAACCCCACTGGATTACAATTTCGCAGTCAGTATTGCCTATTCCAGGAGGTATATCGAGTAAAGACTTCCGAGACATGTCTTATGCAAGCCTCAAGATTTGCTCCAAAAGGGGAACTATGGGCTCTGAAAATACGTACTATCATTCAAAATCGTTGGCAAAAACACTACTCCGGTCAGTCGTCTTCAGTAAGAAGCTATAAAGATCGAGATATCTACCGGGAAGCGAGGAGAAGCCAACGTTGCAGCTGAAGTACATGAACTGCACCAAATCAGCTTTTGGAATAGAGAGGAAACAACACCCGCCGAGCCATCGCTTTTAAGAACCCGACAAAGTCGGGGATGTTACTTACGGCTGTGAACCAGCATTTCACGTCCATGAGAGCAAGCCCGACCTCTTTCCAGACTATACCGCCCAATCTTTCCACACTGCCGACCTGCCGAACGCCTCGAGCTTTCGCAATGAGCTTTAGGGTGTCAGCGTCAGTAGTCTTACGCAAGGATCCTTCACTCACCTTTTCTTCTTCTGTCAAAAAGCGCGCCTTGTCTGGGGTGTCTGGGAGAAAGAAAAATGCAACTGGCGCCATGCAAATCGTTGGAAGACCTTCCACAAGGAAAAGTAGACGCCATTTTGCCAGATGAGGATGCCCCGAGGTGATTCCATAGGCTAACGCTCCAGAAAAACTTGTTGCTAAAGGAGCGGCAGAGAGAAAGATGGCGATACGTAGGCCGACTTCGTGTCTCAGATAAAAGAATGACAGAAGATACGGTATCCCTGGACCAAAACCAGCTTCGCTGATTCCGAGGAAGAAACGGCATGCCATCATTCCGCTCCAGGTGTTAGTCCCGGACTGTGCCGAAGCAATCAACCCCCATCCAAAGCTAGTGGGGATACGCAGTCAGCTTCTCGCCTTCAAAAGACCATTCAGTCTCGAGGCATGCATGATCAAAGGGATGAAAGAGCTCGTGGCTCCTAAATAATGAATTGCTATTCGAGCGGCGGTTTCAATCAGGAAGGAATGAGGGGACGTCACGTACACGGTAAAAGCTAACCAAATGCTGTCAAAGATTTTGGAGTCAGCATTGGCATATCAAGTGGGGTTTCGAGCCACGAAAAATGTCTGCAAAAGCCACCAATCCCGAGACAGCCCTCGAGACCCAGAGTCTAGTCTCGGAAGAGGGTCCAGTCTCTGAAAATACGTACTGAGGCGGTACGATCTTCCACATGAGCGCTTGAAACTCGAAAACGATATACGTGATGTAGAAGATCGTCAACAGCCACTGATAATCATTGCCAACAAGGTGTAGGTCCTTCGTCATGCCTGCAATTCGAGCACTACATTTCGATCTCGCTGTCAGTATTGCCTATTTGAGGCGGTATCAAGCCTGGAACATGTTTTGAGAGTACAGACTCCCGAGACATGCTTCAAGCCTCAAGACTTGGTTCAAAAGAGGAACTCTAGGTTCCGAGAATAACGTACTTCCCTATGTTGGATCGATCGAGGAAGGATAGAACGTATGATGCCGTGACCAGCGGAACTATCCTGAAGTCCATTTTACGAACCACTTTCCTTTCAGTGTCGGAAAGAAAATGGCGGTCGTGTGATTGATGGAGGGATTCTACGTCATGGCCTCGGACATAACTTTTTTCTGGGTCAAAAGATGGATAAGTCGTTTGATCATTCACAGGATCAGTGCTCGTAGGAGGCGGAGTACGCTGAAATTTGCCCAGCAATCCCATGCTTGCAATTGACAGCTATAGTATGAAAAGTGAAAAGCGGTTCAGTGGCCCAGAGCTCAGTCGAAGCAGAGTGAGGTAGGTGAGAATAAGTTCGGAGAGATGGAAGGAATAGTGCTGCCAATTAAGTCAAAATGCTTGCGGACGGTAAGCAGTAGGTAAGCAGTATCCCGAGGACGGCGAGGTACAGCACATGACGCTAACTGGCATGGAGAAGGAAAAAGCGGAGACTGTGGTTGGTGGATAACAGCAGTTTCTCCGCACGTTCCCCACAATGCCCTAAGTACGACGGACGGGTTAGAAAGTATTTTTTTCTATCTTTTTTTTCTTCCAGAGGTACTCTTCAAAGTATTCTTTTAGAGATATTCTAGGCTCTTTCGAAAGTAGGGGTAGGCTACTCTAGGGGTACTCTCCGAGGTACTCTTCCGGGTACTCTTCCGGGTACTCTTCCGGATACTTACGACGGATAATAACTAATACTACGATCAAATATTTTATAAAGTTCTTCGCAAAAAAAAAAAATTTAAAAAATTTACGGGACTTTCCGCGGAACTTCCCGTGAATTCTTTTTTCGAGTGATTTTTCGAGTGATTTTTCGAGTAAGTCTCTAAGAAACCCCTCGAGTAACCCTCTAAGTGCTCTCTAAAATACCCTCCTCGAGTATCCCCGAAAGTATACCCTCGAATACTCTCTTAAATCCCCCTCGAGTACCCCTTAAAGAATCCCCTAAAGTATCTCTCTAAGATATTTCTTTAAAAAACCTCTTTAAATATCTCTTTAAAATCGCGGGAAGAAAAAGAAATTTAAGAAGAAAAAATTGGTTTTAGTTTTGTCGTAGTGTTAGCCCTCGTCCGCCGTATTAAGGTACTCTAGCTCAACGCCTTTCAATTCTAGCCGTCAAAGTCGGCCTCAAGTCTGACATTACCGCCGGATAATATAATGGTCACAGCTTCAATGCGACTGACAGAAAGTATCTAATGTATCTACCTTATGAGTTGATTGAAATGCACTGTGTATTGCGATCAAGTTTCACCATACATATCCTGAAACCCTAGAAGAGCCTGAAGAGGAATAGTAATCGATTGGCTTGACTCAAAAGACGCCCGCTGCACGCTTTCAGCCATGCACTCTGGTACCTTCTAGTAAGCTAGTATCACAATGATGGTAAAATTACAGGTGTATCTCCTCCTAGCGCCTTAAATGCATGTTGAAAAATTCGGTCCCCACCAACCCTAACGAGAAGTTGCTGATGGACATCGAATGTCTACCGCCTTCTTGACTGATGAACTCACAGATTTGCCGTGACATTGCTGAACTCGCCCTTCTCCAGCTTCGTCTTCCAGAAGATAGGATTCGTGTCCTGCGAGACCCGTCAGTAATTTGGGACTGGCTGAAAATTGTTTGGACAAAAGTACTCTGAAGCCGTGCTTGACCCAACCGTCCTCCTTGACGTGATACAGGTTGATGAAGCCACCGGAGAAAGCATCTCTATGCGTAGCCGCGAGGATGCTTCTTGAACCAAGCTCCAGTGCTTCTTCTTCGCTTAGGTTGTAGTGATACTCCGCATCCAGGACTCCGTACGCAAAAGTCTGGCCTGACCCCACGCAAAATAAATTGCCAGCTAGCCGAGTACCTTCTGAATCGATATAGTACAGCGCAGGGCCTTCTTGTGGTGTGACACCGGCACACATTGTACCCATGCTCAAGCCCATGCCCTTGTACGAGTAGACGAGATTCGAAAGAATCTTAGATGCTGCGGCCACAGATATACGGCGCTTGTGGCGGAGCTCGTGGAGTCGACATTGCATACCGAGGTAGCCCAACCAATACTGACAATCCTATCGGGCTTCAGTACCAGTCTGTTCCATCACTGACATTCCCCTAGAGCCTTACCGCAGCACCACCGGCCATCGTACCCAACAGGCAGTTGTTGATCTCGATGACTTTCTTGACTGTTTGGCTGGCAATCCAATCTCCTGCCGAAGCTCTTGAATCTGTAGCCACAATGATGCCCCCTTGAAATCGGAATGCGAGCGTTGTTGTGCCGTGTGCAAGCTTGATGGGGCAACTTGGGTTGGCATGATCGTCTGTCAACGCGCGAAGGAAGGCTGAAGGCTGAGGGTCATTTTCAGCAACTGTACCAGACGTAGTAGAGCTCAAGGACAACTCACGTTCCGCATGGGGGGTAATGCAAAGTTCAAGGACAGTGATGGCTTTGCTTGTATCAGCTCTTGGTGCTCGTCTGACGAGTAGCCTTCATCCTCAAAAGCTGGACGGCTATATGTTGCCACTAAGGCGTCCATCTCGACAGGACGACTGCGTCAAGGGCTATAATGTGTGTTCAGAGGGGGAATGGGAGGCAGAGAAGAAGTTAGATTATGTCAAAGTAGAAGGTTGATGTGAATCAGTCGTGCTTCTACAGCACTTGCTAGGTCCACGCAACACGCCAAGCAACTATTTCATCATAAGGCTGAATCAGACTAGCTCAAGCAAGATTACTTTATACTTAGAACCTCAATACTTTCCACAACCCATCACTCATTGCTCAATCTTCACATAAGACTTATCAGCGGTGCAACTATTTACGCGATCTGTGATATCCCGTATTTACTTAGAACATCCAGAAGAGACAAGAAACTTCGCCACCATCAAACTCAGCTTCCACTTCCTCATCAATCAAGGCCGCCATGGCCGTGGAAGTGGTCCTCAATACACCCCTCGCTGACGCGCTCAGCAATGTGGTCCAGCCAAAACTGTCGGAGGTGGGGTGGAGCACTGGGGGGCTTGACGACTCTGCGCTGGGAGAATACATCATCCTGATGCTTGTGAACGGGAAAACGCAGGAACAGATTGCGGCCGAGCTTTCCAATGACCTGCTCAATCTCGGGCCTGATGATACTGGAGCAACGGACTTTGCAAAGTGGCTTTTTGAGCAGGTCGATATCCTGAACGGGCAACTGAACGGGCCTCCTGCGTTTCAGATATCACAAGCGCAGCAAGGCCAGGCAATACCATCATATGTAGACGAAGGGAGTTCATTCAGTGGTGGAGACAGACATCCAAACGACGGAGGAGGTACTGATACTGATATGGGTGAAGCTATGGACGGGGTCCATAATGGGGCTATGTATGCATCCGTCATTCTCGATCTCGTCATTCACAATCCACTGACAGACGTAAATAGACCGACTGGTCCCAAGTCGATGCGGAATCCTTCACGAAACGGCAACAAAAGAATAATAGGTCAAATATCAAAAGCCATGGATCGATCAGGCGACGTTGCTCTTCATCGCGTCCGACCGCAACAAGGCACTGAGCGTATCAATACGCATAGCCGGCCACCACCGAAAGGCCCCCGAACTGATCAAAATCGAACACCGAGAACGCAACCAAACGGAAGACGAATGGGCATGCCCAATACTGGAGCGGCCGGTCCGTTGATGCAGCTGACACCACAGGAGCAAGTGCTATTGATGTCTATGTACGAGGATCAGGCACGAATGATGCAACAAATTTTCTCCCCTCAACAACAACAGATGTTCATGCCATCAATAAACCCAGCTTTCCAGAATGGCGCTGCACCATCAAGGCAACAACCAGGCCGGTCTCTCTTCGAGAGGGTGGAGGGCAATCCGCAACGGCAGAACGGACACTTCAATAAAGGTTCGCAGTTGAACGGTGCAAGGTTCCAGTCCCAAGAGCCTTCTACAGATACGGATATCCCTAGCAGTTACACCAATGGCGACATCTCGTCGTCTATGGAGGTTGAAAGCTCACAGAACAATCCACCAGAATCGGCCTCAGAGACGATTTGCAGATTCAATTTGACTTGCACGAAGACAGACTGCCCGTACGCTCATCAATCTCCTGAGGCGCCTCCAGGAACCACCATCGATGTGAATGACGAGTGTCCGTTTGGTGCCGCCTGCAAAAGCCGAAAGTGCGTGGGCCGTCATCCATCGCCCGCTCAGAGGGTCAGTCATCAATCCGAGCAGGATTGCAGGTTTTTCCCGCATTGCGCAAATCCTTCATGTCCATTCCGACATCCTACAGCGATGCCTCCTTGCAGGTTCGGCGCCGATTGCAAGAAGGAAGGGTGTAAATTTATGCACGTCAAAACCACGTGTCGATTTAATCCCTGCTTAAATCCACAATGTCCCTTCAAGCATGCTGAGGGTCAGAAGAGAGGAGTCTTTGGAGACAAGGTTTGGCGGGTGGCGGATGATAGTGAAGACAAGGGCCATGTCAGCGAGAGGAAGTTCGTCGACGAGATGGGGGAGGAGGAGCTGGTGGTGCCGGACGTCAAACTCGAGGATATCAAGGCCGAGGACCAAACGCATGGATCCCAGAGTTCAAGCCTAGGGGCCGATGTTGTCACATGATCCGGAGCACTAAGAGTAGAGGCAGGCGATCGGCTCAACGTGTTCAGGCGCAAGGGTTGGCAAGGTTGCAAAATTACGTATGCATGGGGCGTGTCACACATATGAAGATCGTGACGGTGTCCAAATTCTTAAAGAGTCCTAAGCGGTTTTCAGGAAGGAGAGTGGCTTTCGCGTTGGCATGCCTACCTCGATAGCAGACATGTCATCTCGTAGGGATCGAGTTGTCGTTAAGCAATTAAATACCGTTAGTTCGGTTATCATACCACATCAAAATTGCTGCTCTGATGGTATTTCCCGCACCTCAAAATCTCGTGGTGGATACCTGTTCTCCATTACACCCAGCTGCTGTACTCCGTACTTAGAATCCCCCCACCAAACCACATACGGCGCATCCAGGGATTTTCTCATGAATAAATTGACTTCGATCCCTCAATGTCCATTTAACACCTTAGAAACCTTGCTCAAGCAATGCTATGCTCGACCTGCTTGTCAGAGGTCTTTCTTATATCGGCATTATGTCACAGCGTCATCGACATCGAACACGAAACCTGAACCTCCAAGGATAGCCGTTCTGGGAGGGGGGATCACCGGGCTAGCTTGTGCCTACTTCCTGTCTAGAGATCTTCCAAACGCCAAGATCACGCTTTTCGAGGCCAGCTCACGGTTGGGTGGATGGCTTCATTCAAGATCAGTGGATATCGGCAGTGGAACTGTAGTTTTCGAGCAAGGGCCACGCAATCTACGCCCAACAATGCCAAATGGTCTTATAACCTTGGATTTGGTATGAGAGCAGCACATTTCATTGCCTGCCCAGGCTGACCGACGCCATCCAGGTCCGTAACCTTGGCTTGGAGGATCGAGTCCTGATGACCTCCAAAAACTCAGTTGCTGCCCAGAATAGGTTTATTTACTACCCAGATCATCTTGTGCGAATGCCTGGGCCCGGTTCCTCGTTGCTCCAAACCATTTTGAGTGTTTTGTCCGAGCCTATCTTCAAAGGTACTATTTCCGGGGCCTTGTCAGAGGTCACTAAGCCCCGACGTCCAGAGGATCTCCAGGACGAGTCTATCGGTTCCTTTTTCACTCGGAGATTTGGCTCTGCTTTGGCAGACAATGTAGTGTCTGGTGTTTTCCATGGTATCTACGCTGGTGATATCTACAAGCTCAGTGCTCGGGCAATACTGCCATCACTATGGGCAATTGAATGGCGAAACAACTCAATCATGAAAGGATTACTAGAAGAAGCAATTGGAGGGATGCGGCCAATTGCTACAAGCGATTTGGACTTGATAAAGACACTCCAGAGCCAGCCTATCACGTCTGACAAGCTAGAAGTCGCTAAGAAATCTAGCGTATACACGTTCAAGGGCGGGATTGGCGAATTGGCTGACAAGCTGGAGGCAAAGCTCGATGAGAGTGATAATGTCCTCATACTGGAAAACACCGATGTCGGACAAATCAGGATAGTGTCAACTGCGGCTGGCGAGAAGGTATGGATGCCTTTTATGAATGACATCGACGTCCGAGCAGTATAGTCTTCTGTGCGATCTGTGAAATCCTGGACGCTGACTAGAAGGAAATAGATCCAAATAAACGCAAAGGAAGCTTCAAATCGAGAAACGACGGACTACGATTTTGATCATGTTGTATCTACAATACCCGGAAATAAGCTTGCCAGCATCGCATCTCGATCACCTATTACTAGTCTCTCACCTTTATCTCGTACCTCTGCTGTCACAGTCATGGTCGTAAATCTCTTCTTTTCGAATCCTAAAATCCTCCCAGTCCACGGTTTCGGTTACCTGTTGCCTCGGTCTGTGCCATTCGAACAGAATCCTGAAAGGGCGCTTGGTGTCGTCTTCGACTCTGATGCCAGTATCGGTCAGGACGATGTACCGGGCACCAAAGTGACCGTGATGTTAGGTGGGCATTGGTGGGACGACTTCGACGCTTATCCCGACGAGGATGAAGGGGCTAGCATGGCGAAGGCACTGCTAAAGCGCCATCTGGGCGTTAACGAGGAGCCTCGAGCCATCAGAGTAAGTCTGCAGCGTAGTTGCATACCTCAATACGGCGTTGGCCATGAGGCGCGGATGGAGGATGCCAGTCTTCGCTTGGACTCCTTCAAAGGTAGACTCAGAGTTGCTGGAAATAGCTATACAGGCGTGGGACTCAATGACTGCATAAGGGCTGCTAGGGATGTGGTCAAAGGTCTCGTTGATGGTACTGGAACGACTGGACTCGAATCTTTTGTTGGCGGGAAGAAGTGGTCGTGGATAAGCGAGACGAGTTGAAAATAATATAGCTCAGAAGTCGACAGGCTTGTGATTCAGTCACACACGGCACTGGAATGTCGCTTGGTCAGTGGACTCGACGTGCTTTCAGTGGCAGCCTTTTTGCCTGGCGAGGGATCGAGGTGTGAAAAGTGAGTGGATGAGGAGAGCATATCGCAGCAGCTAAACGCAAAAGGTAAACAGTAGTAGCAGCGCCGGCGAGATTGATGCTGAAAACTATTTCGTCACTGCTTTGGGTATACCACAGGTCACGGCGCAAGTGATAGCAGAGCTCCCGTATGGCGCTTGTTTCTTGATACGAGTGAAGCTGGATGTGAATATTGCTAACCTTCGCAAGGGTATATTCGCGGGAAAGACCTGTGCAAGTAACGCCTTCTTCGGCTCTGGAACCATTTCTGCTGTTAACCACCTGAATGCCGCCCCTCGTCGAGCGCTTTTATCACACATCATGTGCCTTCTTAGCTCCATCGCTATCAAAGCCTAGACTGTCCAATTGTCGTATTAGCTCCTGGATTTTGATAACTTTCTCGAACTGCTCAGGGAGCAAACTTTCTCCTTTATCCTTCTTCTCTCGCAATTGTCGTGCTTGCCGTAGCTTCTTCTTCAAGTTCCGCGCCTGTTTCTCCTTCTCTGCTTCGGGTTCCACCTCAGGCTCAGGCTCAGGCTCAGGCTCAGGCTCAGGCTCCGGCTCCTGAGATGGTGGCGGACCTTCTGCCCTCCCATTATCCTTCCACTCCGGGTTTGAATCTTTGTCCGGATTTGAATCTTTGCTGGATTGTCGATAGCATTCCACCTTTGCTTTTGCGTTCACAAGACTCTCATTCTCCTCCTCGCCCTCCGCAACCTTTGCCCTCTTCCTCGCTTCTCTTCTCTTAGCATTCTTTCCCGTGCTTGACTTTCCATCCTCTAAATCTTTCAGACCCTCGGCGCCAGGAACACCGCCACTTCCTCTTGTCTTCCATGCCTCGGCCGTCCTGTTCTTGTAGACTTCGACATCTTCAGGGGGCCTGTAGCCAGGTCGTATCTTGATTTCTTTGCGGAGGGAGCCATCGGCGCGAGTTGATGGAGGAATATGCCGATCACCAGTCGGAGTGGTAAGGATACCGGAGCGAGGGATCGGGAATTGAGATGGGAAAGGGCTGGTGGATGTCGGCATCGTTGCGCTGTAGAGAATGCAGGCGACGGATGGTTCAGAGCTTATGATATTGTGAGATATTCAAGACGTAGAGCAGATTCTTATATCCATGAGACCAATCGTCATGCTAGACAACCAGTTGTTCTTGAGGGGAAAGTGAACGTGATGCTCGACCACTCGTGCGTTCTGCATAATCACTCAAGCTACGGTTGACCAAGCGACGCTGTTATTCCGCCGCCAATATAGACCAACTTCCCTCGTTGACTGACTATCTTCACACCATAATCTCTACACAGATCTGCACATTGATCACAATCATCATAATGGCTGGTGTAAGTAACGGGAGACCAATTGACAGACTGCAAAGCTAACTGTTAATGCCCCTAGATCGCGGGCGGCCTCTACAAGCAAGTATCTGTAGCCTCTACAGCGGAAGCCTTAGCTAATACCCACAAAGCTCCATCTTCCGAAGAAATGTGGTCTTCTTGTCCGCGGTATTCAGCGGAGCTTTCGCATTCGAGATGTAAGACCACTCGACGACTGCTTGAAAAGAGAAGCGGGAGCTGACGGGCGTGGGGTACAAGTGGATTCGATCAAGCTCTAAGCAAATACTGGGATTGGAACAATAAGGGAGTGAGTAAAAAGCCATCAATTCGTGACTGCGGCTTCGGCTGATAAGTTGGATCAGCGGCAATGGAAAGACATACGACATAAGTACGTGGAGAATGAAGAGGAGTGAGGTGGGCTGTTGCAGTCATGTATCCGGCCGAGAGCACGAAAGTATATGACGTGAACTTTCATGTCTGCTTCTTGAGGAACGTGCTGTGTCGTCTTATACGCTGCTTTTGGGCGCATGACTAGGACCAATCTTCAAGCGGCATGGCTACATGTGAAGGGACTGTAAATAAATCAAGGGCTGGCAATGCAACGAAGAATTGCGTCTCAGTCATTCCTAGTACAAGATTTTCCATGCATGTCAATTTTTACTGGCTGTCATCAACATGTTGCCGTAGAGGCATACCTTACTCTAAGTGCTAGGGAATATCCTTTATACCCCTCCGTATTCCACCACCAGCACCGTGATAAATCCCAAGCTCTTTGATTCGGGCTCGTTCGTAAAGACGTAAACAAGCGAGAGATATATCTTCTATAAGAGACAAGTTTGACCAATTCAAAGGTCTGTGTTGGTGAGTTAGATGACTTCGTGACCTCCGCACTTCCCCTCTTCCACATTTCGAACACTTCCACGACGAAATCAAAGAAGAACACCATCTCGTCTCGACCGCCAGGCTTTCGAGCCAACGCCGTACTTGTGCCATCCTCTGTCCATTCGTCTTCGCCTGCGCCAACTTCTTCGAGGCACCGTCCTTACAGCAATGGAAAAGTACCTTCGATGATGTTACTGACAAGCCAAGAGCGACGCTTGTGCTATGCCCTTCGAGATCTTCCCCATGGGCATAGATACCGCTACACGGAGTACGCCAGCCAGTCACTACAGCGAGCACTCTTCAACTCGCTTGTCGCCGAAAATGACGACTATCTACGGGCTCTTTTTGGAGGAAAAGTCCCAAAGGCCGGAGAGGACTGGGACCTTCGGAGTGCTCAGGGCATGGTAGAAGGATCGGAGTACAGTGAAGCAGCTAGGGGCAAGCCTTGCGGTCATATATTCAAGGCCGGCGATGCTACTTACCGATGCAAAACGTGTACCACGGATGAGACATGTGTTCTCTGTACCCGCTGCTTCGAAGCTTCGGAGCATACAGGCCACCTTGTCAGTCAGCACATATCCTTGGGCAATAGCGGCTGCTGTGATTGCGGGGATGACGAAGCTTGGAAAATACCAGTCAAATGTGCCATACACACTTCACACACTTCCGCAACGGCGGGAAAACAACGGCAAGCACCAAACCTTCCGGAAGAACTGGTTGAGAGTATCAAGATGACCGTCGGCCGAGCTATGGACTACCTTTGCGATGTCATTTCATGCTCACCGGAGAATTTGCGGCTTGAGAAGAAAGAAGACATCATTAGGCAGGACGAGCGGCAGTCCTACTTGAATTCGAAATGGTACGAGGAGTCAGAAGATCCAGATCCAGAATTTGCTTTGCTGCTATGGAACGACGAGAAGCATACAATAGACGAGGTTCAACAACAAGTGGCGAGAGCGTGCAAGGCTACGAAAAGTTTTGGGCTAGAGAAAGCTATCGAAACTAATGACATGGGACGCAGTGTCGTTAACTACTCACGGGATCTCAATAGCTTGCTGAAGGTGGCTAAGATCATCGAACAAATCAAGATCACAGTGACCATACGATCCTCCCGGGATACCTTTCGCGAACAAATGTGCGGCACCATCATTGAGTGGCTGGGAGACATCGCTGGTTGTAGTGTTGGCGAGGACCACGACATTCTACGATATACTGTTTGCGAGGAGCTGCTCAAGACATGGCGCACGGGAAGCGTAGCCTTCAATAAGTGGGTTGGTATGAGCGGTTTAGACGACCATGAGATTGTTGAGTCAGCCTATCTTAGTGAAGCTGTAGCGTCCTCAGCAGCCCGTCGTGGTGGTGTACTGATCCCCGGACGATTCGGAGTACCCCACCTAGACAGCGATTCCGACGCGCTTACGAATGACATGGAGAATGATGATGGAGATGAGGACGGCGATAGCCAAATTAATGACGAGGACTTGGAGGTGGAGACGGAGCAGATGGACTTGGATGTTATACAAGCTGAATTGGATACTGAACACAACGATACGGATCATGACATGCGCACTCCTGGAGAAATGGAGGATGAGACCGAAGTATCTGAGGCTACTTACGCAGGCTATCCACCACCTCCGCCTCCACCGCCCGCGCCACCGCAGCAAGTGCTGCTCCGAGATCCTGTGCGAACTTTCTCCACGGACTCAAACATAGGAAACGAGCCAATATCAACGGGTTCGCTTGTATCGATGCCGACGTTCGAGATTCCACCAACACCTTGGTCATTGCGGAGGAAATCACCAAGTCGTCCACCGACTTACTGGCTGGAACAGCCCAAAGCATATGCATCAAAAGAACTTGTACCTTTACATGAGGACTTGCGCCAACGTGTCCGTTTAGATTGGTTATTACTCTTTGATTTGAGGCTCTGGAAGAAAGCACGAATTGGTCTTCGAGATTTGTACATCAGTACCGTGGTTTCGATACCCCAATTCAAACGCATTTTGGGATTGCGGTTTGCCGGATTGTATACTCTACTTGCGCAACTTTATCTTATTGCGGATCGCGAACCGGACCACTCTATTGTCAATCTCTCTCTTCAGATGCTTACCACACCATCGATCGCCGAAGAACTTGTCGAGCGAGCAAATGTTCTTACGAATCTCTTCGCTACTCTCTACACATTTCTCACACACCGCCAGGTGGGTCACCCATGGGATGTCGCCATACACGAGACTTTGGCATTTGATGCTGGTTCAGTCGCGAACCGTAGAATGTACCACTTTTTCGGAGATTTGAAGCATTTGTTTGACGTCGAATCCGTCAAGGAGAAATTCCGTACTCAAGAAAGATACGCGTTCCAATTCCTTGATCTCATTAGACTACCCCAGGGCATTTGCCCAAACGTCAGAGCCGTGGGGGATCATGTCGAATACGAGAATGATGTATGGATTGGTGCATCTCTGATGACAAAGGAGATTAACAGACTTTGCCGTCAATTCGCAGAGTCATTTCGTTGGCGGGACGACGAAGACAATTCGAAATTGTCTCGAGTGATAAGGACTGTTGCGAAAGCCACGATAATTAACTCGGTTGGAGGAGAGCGTGTTCGATTTGACCAGGCTGAGATCAAGGCGGAAACTCGCTTCAAGACACTTGAACCCTTCTACTTCGAAAACGGTCCATTTTCCTTTGATAACAATGTCAATGATTTCGAGATACGCCACACGGTTGTCGATTTTGTAGTTGAAGCGGAGCCAATCAGCTTCCATCATGCACTACATTACACTCTTTCTTGGCTGATTGATGTCGGTAAGAAGAAGCCCGAGAAAGATATGAGGAGCTTGCTGCATTTCACCGTCAAAGAGCTGAAGGAACCTCCTCCGTACAAAGCTCTGATACCCGATCACGATCCGGAAAGCTACCTGATGGCTCTTTTTGACTTCCCGCTCCGAGTTTGTGCGTGGCTGGCGCAAATGAAAACTAGCATGTGGGTAAGAAATGGGTTGAGTCTCCGACACCAAATGGGCACTTACCGGGGTGTGTCACTTCGAGACTTTGGGCATCATCGAGACATTTTCTTGCTTCAAACGGCCATGGTCATCTGCGACCCTAGCAGAGTCCTAGCTTCAATTATAGATCGGTTTGGCATGGATGACTGGATGAGAGGGCACTATGTCACTCGTCCCGGGTATGAACCGTCTCAGCAACTCGACGTGTCAGAGGATTTCATTCATCTGCTCATTGTCTTGTTGAGTGATCGGACCTCATTGCAACCAGTGGAAGGAGACAAGAATGCGCAGGCACTTGCCATTCGTCGAGACATCGCACACATACTTTGTTTCAAGCCTCTATCCTTTTCTGATCTCAATAGTCGGTTAGGGCTCACAGACAGGTCCACAGACCTTGAGGATTTTAGGGAGATTCTTGAAGAGATGACCAATTATAGAGCACCCGAGGGTCTATCAGACTCGGGATCTTTTGAGCTTAAGCAAGAACACCTTTCAGATATTGACCCGTACACTGCGCATTACACCAAAAACCAGCGCGATGAGGCTGAACATGCGTACCGCCTCTGGATGGCGAAAAGATCTGGCAAGCCTGAGGCAGAAATTGTTTTGGAGCCCAAGCTTCGGCCGATCCACTCCGGAATCTTCTCAGATCTCTCCGCTTTCACCAGGACGCCTTTGTTTTCTCAGATAATCTACTATTCACTGGCGCACCATTCGCATCCTCATTTTTCATCGCAAACACCAAATACCAGGATTGAAGCGTATCTTCAAGTCGTCCTACATTTGGTACTTGCCGCTGTGCTCGAAGATGATACGAGCGATGATAACGAACCAGACGTAATGGGCCAAACTCCATCGTTCATCTTTAACGTTCTCCACAAAACCTCAGAGCTAGGTAGTACGATCTTCGACATTCTAGTCAAAATGTTGGAGAGCGACGACATCAAGGGTTGCCATCCAAAAATCCGCCTAGTCTTGCACAGAATTCAACAGCGTAGAACTCGTCTCTACGATACTGTCGTATCGTCGCTTTATTCAAAAGGAAGAAACCCTCCAGCACTTCCTCTTGACAGACTAGGTTTCGAGTCCCCACGGACCCCTCTAGACGGGGACCAGGAAGCAAGGGAGCGGCAGAGTCGGGAACTCAGAAAACAGCAAGCCCTTGATAGACAAGCGAGAGTCATGGCACAGTTCCAGCAACAGCAGCAAAATTTCTTGAATAACCAGGATATTACAGAATGGGGCGACGTTGACTCAGACGAACTTGACTCGATTGTCACTAGTGGTACGGAAGAGCATAAGAAGATCTGGAAGTATCCAACGGGCAATTGTATTCTGTGTCAAGAGGAGACGAATGATACTCGGCTTTTTGGGACGTTCGCACTACTGGCAAACAGTAACATCTTTCGTCAAACAGATATCCAAGACCCTGATTTCTTTGGTGAAGCTTTGTCAACTCCCACTGGCCTAGATCGTGCAGCGGACAGTATACGACCATTTGGCGTCGCTAGCCAGAATCGTAGGAAGGTTGCAAAGCTTACACCCAGCGGTAGTGAGGTCGTGTCGGAGCATCAAGGCCTTGGCAAAGGTTTCCCACCATCGTTCGCGTCAAGAGGCCCAGTTTCCGTGGGCTGCGGTCATATCATGCATTACTCATGTTTTGATCTGTACTGCTCTGCAACCCTCCGTCGACAGCATCATCAGATTGCCAGGAACCATCCAGAACGGGTCGTTCGAAAAGAGTTCGTCTGCCCTCTTTGCAAAGCCCTAGGAAATACTTTTCTACCTATAATATGGAGGGGGAAAGAAGAAACTTATCCTGGCGCACTGCATACGGACACTGCTTTCGACGGTTGGCTGTCTTCAGGGGTTGGCTTGACTGTCTCACGATTTTACAAACGTGAAGAGAGTCGATCAGGCAACAATTGCCACCAGGAGCTTTTCGTCAACTATACTTCGGAGGCCGTGATACCTCCACTGGGAAGCAAACTGACGGCCCTTTTCCGAACACCTCTGACTTCTCCTACGACCCCACAGGAATCTAGTAGAAATTCGATGCCGGGACGGTTTCCTCTTGACGAGAACTTAAACCTGTCAATGGTGTCGCCAAGTCATCCAGTCTCTACAGACATTGTACAAATTGACGAACTGATCTCCATCTACAACCGCCTACGAGAGACTATCAAGGCTAATGAGCTACCTTCCCGATTTCCTTATAGCTCTGACCTGTCGGGTAGATCTATAGAAGATCTGGGGAATATCGATACTTTGGCCACGTCGTTTGGTAATACCATTTCAGCTACCGAAATTGCTCAGAGAGGCGTTCAGTCCCAACACGGATCTACGCTATTAGAGAGAATCCCCCCTTCTATAATGACCCACCTTCGAATCTTGTCAGAGACTACATCGTCTTATATTGCGATCGGAGGCATGCGCAACGCCGGCACAAGCACACCAGCGCGCGAATTTTCGGAGACTACTCGACGTCAACTGTTACAGCTTTTTGTCGGCCACCCTCAAATCAGTGGCGATGAGCCACAGAACGTGGTCAAAACTCAGCTGCCAGCTGCGCTCTCGCAAGATACTTTCGTGTTTCTCGCCGAATGCTCCGTCTTTTTGGTCCCCGCATTTGGTTTGGATATCCATCACATTGTCCGCTTATGCTATTCACTTGAGATCGTCAAGGTGGTACTGCACTTGACAGCATATCCAGGTACCTTGGACGAATTGCGATTCAGGACCCACACGCCTACTGACGTCAATATCTCCCCCGAAGCCCTTCACACATTTCAGGACTTTTTGATGCGGATATGCCTCCTTTTCACCCCTCCATGGCCGGTACCGATGCACAATCATGCAGGTGAGACTTCTGTGATGAACGGCAACCGGACACAAAAAGACTGGGTGGTGTTATACAAAGCCACTGCCGCTTACGCCCTTACTTTCCTTCGCAAAGTGGCTATCCTACTAAATGTGCGATATGGTGTAGATTATCCCGATACAGGCCTCGCAGATGTCGATGAGCCAGAGCTTGACCGGCTCACGAAAGCCTTGAATCTGCCGTCTTTGGTGAATATGCTTGCTTGCCTAAAGGATAGTGCCAGCAACGGGCTCTCAATCCAAGAGTCGATTATGGCTGGGTGGGTCCAGCATTGGCAATGGCATGAGGGACATCATGCGGCCATGCGAGGTCACCCCTCGCTTTCGAACGATCAAAAGCTATTGAACCAATCAGCGTACCAGAGTCTAAGATTAGGGCATCCAGCCATCTTCGAGCTAATTGGCTTGCCGAAGCAATTCGACACACTTATTTATGAGGTGTCTCGACGTCGTTGTCCGACCACCGGCAAAAGATTGGAAGATGCAGCTCTGTGTCTCTTTTGTGGCGATATCTTCTGCAGCCAAGCTTCATGCTGTCACAAATATGGCAAGGGTGGCTGCAATCAGCATATGCAGAAGTACGTCAGGTCTCTCCTGTTTCCCAATTCCGTAGCGTGCGAGAGAGATTTAATACGCTAGATAGGTGCGGCGTCGATACGGGGCTCTTTCTTAATATCCGCAAATGCTGTGTGCTTTACCTTCACAACAGGAACGGTAGCTTTAATCCTGCGCCTTATCTTGACAGATACGGTGAGCCAGATGCCGGGCTTAGGCGTGGCCGCCAGCTCTTCCTCAATCAGAAGAGATACGATGCGTTGTATAGAAACGTCTGGTTGCAGCAAGGTATTCCGACCATGATTGCGAGGAAACTGGAGGCGGATATCAACAATGGGGGTTGGGAGACCATGTGATGCGACCAAGATGGTCTAAACTTCTGGGCTCTTAGTCCACCCGGATACCGACAATGGAGGTTAGGGGACCATACGACGCGGCCAAGAGGGTCTGAAATTTTGGTAAGTGGGTCTGCCCGGGGGGGGGTTCGAGGCTTGACGATGCCACAAAAGCGTCATGTCTTTTTTTGGTTAATCATCTCACGTGTAATCCACGAGTAGTATCAGCTATGATAAATCTCCATGCAATTGTGCCTCATCAACCATTACTTCGATTTTCTATTTCTTTTTCTTTTTCTTTTTTCTCATGTAAACCTTGAATACTGCCTGACCGAGGTCCATTACTACAGCTTACCGAGGACACTCACTCTCAAGATATAACCCCCTTTGTGTGTAATGAGCCTAATATTTGATACACTAGCTAGCTATTAACAGTGCTGATATGGGCATTAGAATTCCATGAAGTCCAGGTCATGGTAATTGCAATTATAGCTTCATTACGGTGAGCCACCGCGAAGATCAAACCTTATCCTCCCAACGCGCTCACTCTCAAAGCAACTGACTAAACACCCACCGAGGCTTCAACTTCTCCCATTACTGTTCCTCGGATTTTGGGCACTTTGGCTCCATCCGCATCCTCAACGAAGACCGCATCACTCTCCTTTCCAGTTTACCCACCCATCAGCATCGGGATGCAGAGATCTTCTCATGTATGCTCTCTAGAGAGCTGACGCATCGAGACTTGACTATGTAGAAAGCTGGGAGCGAGAGAGCGGGTACGGAAACGTTCTTCCGTATGAAGAGAGGAGACGTTCAGTTCACAAGCGCCGGAAGTGGCATCACGCACTTGGAGACGAATGAGTACAAACATCATTTGTGCCACTTTTTGACTCTGGGTGTTGCCATGAGAGAAAGGCTTGCACTCTGGATATCATCATAAAGATTTTCCGAGGAAGAGAAGAGGAAGGGGTTCGTGACGATCACCAGTCCCCTAAAAGACCGGAAAGAAGCGTCGAATGAACAGCAGACGAGAGCGGAGCCAGCTGTGGAAAGCACAATTCGAATCCATGCAGATTTCCTGTTCGCTACTAGTGTCATTGCACCGGGCAAAATCTTGGTCTGGAGCGTTGGGGGCGATGACGCTGTTAAAGCAAAGACTGATAGCAAAGTTTATGTTTATCTGCCACGAATGAAAAGTGGAAGCGCGAAGATTCGACTAAACGGAGATGAGTGGCCGCTGTCCGAAAGGGATGGGACCTTCGTTCCTGACGTGGATGCGGGAGACAAACGCTTCTTCGAGTCGTTCGGCTGTGAGGAAGCGGAAGTTGCAACATTGGATGCAAGCCCAGCTTAGATAGCTCGGGCACCTCATTCAATGCCTTCCACAGCCTGTCTCTGCTTGTATTTGATGTGATGACCAAGTGATGCTCTAGGTCAAGGTCGCCGTACAGCTAGCTCGTGAACGAAGTCCACGGATTATATAGATAAAACTTAATGTGATTCCGAGGCTGTCAAGTCTCCTTAACATTTTCTTGGTCCCCTCCCCTTGTCCCCTCAGCCATTTCCTTCGCATTCTGAATCTCCCACTCAAACTCTTTCAGAGCTCTGAGTTCAGAGCCGATGAACAGGCCTCCAATCAGGCCGTCTAATACACCTGCTCCGAAGCCAAGGGTGCTAAGGAGGATCAGAAGAAATGCTACAAAAGGGCGTGGCGACCACCAGACGGCAGTGAAGCAGCCAACGGCAACAACGATAGAGACCCCGAAATTCGAGAGGCGGAAGTGGCGCTGATGGCGCTCACGGCGGGCGTAAGTTTCGATCATAGAAAGGATTATGTCGTACGTTGGAATGGACAGAGAATCAATGTCTATCTGTTGAGATGTATAAAACCCAGAACCCGCGTGGCTAGTACTGAGAGAAAGGTCTGCTGGTTGTTCCCGTCGTGAAAGAGTAGCCTCAACAGAGAAGTGGTCACTCAGTGAGCAGCCGATCAGAGGATGACGGTCGGTCATGCCAACCTTGATGTCTTGAACGTGCCATTTGTTATTACTGGGCGAACGTAGATAGTCACTATCGCCAATGAATATATAATCAAGTCGTTTCGCTCGTGGATCTTGAGTAGTATCATTGACGATAATGTTATCACCTCTGTATTGCCTTTTCTGCAGCTCTTTGCTCCACCGCCATGTATTGAGAACACTATCGCAAGTGGCCCCATTCTCGGACAGGTTGTAATTGGCGGTTGGAATCCCGCGTCCTCTCCTCCGTTCGAGATTGTCATTTGCGGACCCGATTGAAGATTCTGGGTGCAATACTCTCCAAGCATCTCGAACGGAACCATAACCACTGATCAGCTGATGGGCAAACGAGAGAGGCACCATGTTGAAATCTCCTAGTCCCAATACTAAATGACCTCTTTCCGCAGCACCGCGCATAAGCTTCGCGACCTCCCAGGCCTGGGCTGTGCGGTGACATAGATAAGAATCATTTGGTTCACTCTCGTAAGGTGCATGCAGATGTGTGCAAAAAACTTCTGCTACGTCTTCCAGACGAGGACCTAATCTGATTCTGGCACACGCAACTCCTTTGCCAACGAACCAATCCCCGCGGAAAAATGCGGTAGGACGTCCATTCAGAGGATATCGAACCATACTCGATTCCTCGATTGGCCATTTCGACAGAATGGCAAGGCCGCCACCGAATATGCCACTGTAATAATATTTGCCATACGGGAGAATATGCTTGGTCTGCGTTCGAATACTTTGATAGTCTTCTTGGGTCCAGCATTCTTGCAAACCAACAATCTCGGGGATTGGGCTGGCAAGAGCAAGCCTTCGTCCAATTTCGGCCAGTCGTTCCCTGCGATAGTGGGAGATGTACTTGAGGCCCAAACAGTTGTAGGAGATGACATTCAATGTATTTGGAGCCTCAGAGAAAGCAGCCATAATTGCTGAAGGCCGCTTGGCTTTCTCTTCTGCTCTTAGGGGTTGTTCGGGATATAATGGATGAATGTCACAGACTCACGAACCAAATCTCGATGAGTAACATGATCAAAACGAAGGGAGAAGATTGGCAATAACGTGCGATTCTCCAAATGCTCTTGATACTTCTCGTGGACCAGCCTCAGTTTGTAGTAGATCAGGTTGGAAATGGTCTTTGGTCTCTGGTCTCTGCGCGGGACAGTTAGGGCTGACAAAACAGTAGCCTGCTCAAAGGAACGAGAGAATACGGCGAACGCAGTGAATATATATCATTATTACCATGATTACTACTGTGAATACATTACACCACAGGTATGTAAGATGAAGAGAGGGAAAAATCCGTAATTTTCATCCTGTTCCTTCTTTGATACGCGTTTACCGACGCGGGAGGCGCGCTACTTTCACGCTTTTGAGACTTGGAACTTTGGATGTTGCCATGTTGGGGAATTGATCCAGAGGTGAAGTCACATACTCAATAGACTCATTGGCTTCCAAAAAAGCCAATCATGCCGTCCACTCGCTATTCCAAAAGACGTCGCGTTAGCAGCCCGGCCAAGGAAGAACCACCGGCGTATAACAGTTCCCCAGACGAATTGGCCGCCAGTTCGGATCATGAGAAATATCACTCTCATCGGGCGCCATCCAAACCTCTGCGAGAAGGCAGAGGGAGAAAACGAAGCTACGCGGACATCTATTCGGCTAATTCTACTGCGGTTGCCTCTGAAGACAGCCACAGCGAGCTGGCCGGCCCTCCTCGTGCGTCTGAGGAAATTCCAAACGTTTTAATTACTGCTGCTGCGTCTGGTGAGGACAGCCCTGACGAGCTAGATCACACGACACCTACCTTCTTTCGCCGTCCTTTCCGTGCCAGCTTCAGCAAAGAGTCAAGACGGCCGCATGAGAAGTTTACCAGCCAAAGCCCTAGCCCTCCACCGTACTCCAGACTCAGCTCACCAATCGCCACACCTCGCACTCCTCTCATTCGCCCGCCACAATATGAACCATACAAGGAGAAGCTGGTACTGAAGGGGCACCGAAAAGGCGTAGCTGCGGTTCGATTCTCTCCTGATGGACGTTTGATAGCAAGCTGCTGTAAGCTCAAAAGTCTACCAGTCTATTTCATCAGCTCCAGCTGACCCTACCAGCGGCTGACGCAACCATCAGGATCTGGGAAACCGCCGCGGGCAAACATCTGCACACTTTAGAAGGCCATCTCGCCGGCATCTCGACCATAGCCTGGTCTCCAGATAGCAAGACGCTTGCATCGGGCTCCGACGACAAGTCCATACGATTATGGGATGTTTCTACTGTAAGACCGTGAATTTAGTACCATTGCTCTCTATCAGAAATATTGACTCGCTGCACAGGGCAAAGCACACCCTCATCTCCTGCTTTCCCATTCCTCCTACATCTACGCTCTCTCTTTCTCCCCACGCGGCAACATGCTTGCCTCGGGCAGCTACGACGAAGCTTTATTCCTCTGGGACGTACGAACCACGCGTCTCATGCGCTCTTTACCTGCGCATTCTGACCCCATCGGCGGCGTTGACTTTGTCCGCGACGGTACGCTCATAGTTTCCTGCGCCGGAGATGGATTGATCAGAGTGTGGGATACAGCTACAGGACAGTGTCTCAGGACGCTCGTGCACGAGGACAACGCCGCAGTTACGGGCGTCAGGTTCAGCCCGAATGGCAAGTTCGTTCTAGCCTGGACCTTAGATGGTTGTGTCCGACTCTGGAACTACGTTGAAGGTCGTTGTGTTAAAACCTACCAAGGTCACACAAATTCGAAGTACAGCATTGGCGGCGCATTTGGCGTTTATGGCGGCGAGGACGGCGTGGAGCAAAGAGCTTGTGTTGTGAGCGGAAGCGAAGACGGAAATATACTTTGTTGGGATGTACAGAGTAAAGACACTCTGCAGATAATCAAAGGGCACCAGGGGGTGGTGCTTGGGGTGGACGCCCTGAACAAAGAAGGACTGATAGTGAGTGGAGGTATTGATAAGACCGTGAGAGTTTGGGAGAGGGTTAGAGAAGGCGCTGGGGACTCTGCAGATCCAGTGGATGCTGCGATTGGCGATCTCAAGGTATGTGAACAAGAGGCAGCTGGGATGGCATGAAGATGGAAAGTTTGAGTGGAATATTATTGGACGAGGTTGGATCAAGTATTGCTCTAGAGAATCTCGCATGACATTTTCGCTGTGCCTTTGGTGAAAAGGCCAGACAACTGGAGGATACTCTCCGTCATTTGAACGGTATCCTGTGTTGTAAAAGATGCAAAGTGTGCTCGTCGTACAAGAAACACGGTGGGAACAATCTGCTTATCGGGTGATGTTACATTCGGACCACCACGTTTGAAGCTTGCTTCTGCTTCTGGGGGCAAACAGGATGGCGGTTTCGGTAGCAGCAGAGGAAATACGGGGGTGTGTTGAATGGTGGGGAGGCCTGATCTCTACACAACAGGTGATGATTCTGTAGTTGTGCGGCTTGCACGGCTGAGTGTGCAATTCTCTTTTTATTGCTTCGGATTCACATTTGTTTGACAGGCATCATGCACGCGTCTCTCCTTTAGAGTATACACAACAAAAACCCATTCATACAAGAAATTGCTTCCCTTCGTCTGCGAACACTCCAAACCGCCTCTAACCAAACCGCCGACAGGCACGTCCTGGATGCTTTATAATTGATCAGCTCGACATGTAAGTCGAATCCGTCCCCACCTCAACAACGCTACTGGGGCTGTTCAATCCGTTCCAGGCGTAACGATCCACGCCGTTGGATGGATCATCTAGCCACTCAAGAAAGGTAGTGAGCGTGTCGGGAGCCGCGTCTTCAGGACCTCCTTCCGTGATCCAGAGCTCAGCAATGCCGTATTGCTTCCGGAGCCTCTGGTACTCAGCCACCGTAGCTGCGAGACTTTGAGGATTGTCCGAGCCATTCAATCCTTCCTGGGTGCCCGGTCCATACCAGTGACAACAGATGGCATCGAAGCTGTTCGAAGGGAACTGTGCTAAGAAACTTGCCATATAGTCACTACCGATACCGGACGAGCCAATATTGTTCTGAGTGCATGGTGTTGTCACTTTGGTGCCCCCCGTTCTCAATGGTGCAATGTGTGCAGTGTGAGCAGCAGCTGCTTCTTGGTAGGTTAGACATGAGCCTCCACCGTCACATCTTTCTGGCTCATTGAAAGCTATGACCCATGGTGTTATGGCGTTGGTTAGCCAGGCGGCTAGATGGGTTGCGTCCGTGCCCCACAGTTGGGCAGCGTATTCGACTTTGCCGCCTCCCCTCGCCGGTCCAGAGCCTGTGGCCGGTGAGGAGTCCCAGTTGGTCATCCAACCACAGGCGTCATTGACAGCGGCGTTGGCTTGGGCAAGGGATTCGTCCGGGGACAATTGCTTATTATTGTAGCTGTAAAGGAGACCGCGAGCTTTGACACCGGTGCTGCCGGTGCTGCCAGTGCCAGTAGAAGGTGAGCTGGCAGGGGCGGACGGGACGGTAGAGACTGAAGAGGATGAAGCAGGAGCCGGTGCAGCAGGAACGGAGGGGGCGGTGGAGACGGAAGAGGACGAAGGAGGTGAAGCAGGAGCCGGTACAGGAGGAACATGAGAGTTTGCGGCAGGTGGATGATAGTCTGCTTTTATGGCCACTGAGGACGAAGTGGTCGCTGCGATCCCGGCCTCGACACGGGTTGCGGGAACAAAGACCTGGCCGTCCGATGCTTCTTGTACTATTTTAGGGCTAGCGGAAGAACTGGCCGAAGACGATGATGGAGGGGTGGGCGCGACATAACTTGTCAAAAGGCTGCCCGAGCCAGTGGGTCCAATTGGGATGCTGCTGTTGTACATGGGGTAAGGTACGACTGACGATTGGACTGGGGCGGAAGATTGGGGGGATTCAATCGGACTCGGGCTCGGGCTGGCTTGAACTGTGACAGTGACCGTGTTGGCCGTCGTGACGGTGACTGTGGCAGGTCCACATGGATTTCCAGCCTGGCCAGGTCCACCTGGTGCACCAGATGGAGATCCTGCAGAGCCAGATTGTCCAGAGCCTCCGGCAGCTCCAGTCGTAGCTGGGGACTGGCCTGCTACAGGGGCGGAACTAGTCAATGGTACAGGGATGAGGTTGATGGTTGATTTGATGGTCACCATACCCGTGCCAGTAGCCGTGGCACCACCAGCTGTCGAATTTCCAGCTGGGAAAGGAGCACCTCCGGAGCCCTTGGGAGGGAAAGGAGCTTGACCAGACTGGAATGGTCCACCAGTCGGAAGGGGCCAGCCGCCTGGAGGCTTGCTTCCTTTATGAGGTCCGTGATACATGGAGCCATGCTGTGGAATAGCCAGAACGGCAGGAAGAAGAGCGGCCAGAAGGGCGATATTTAGGACTGCCATGGCGACAGATGATCGGATTGCGCGTATTTGTGATTTGATTGAGAGGCAAGTTTGAAGAGATTTGGGAATCGATATTTGCTGACGGAGTATTTGTGTTGTTGATTTGGAACACTATTGAAGCCGACCAGGGCTGTAAAGAGCGTGTGATGGTCAACGATGGACCGAATGAATGTAACGAGCGAGTGCTCTATCAACGAGTGACTATGTGATAAGAATGTCAAGGACAGCGACAGCGTGGTGAAGGAAGAAGGAAGAAAGAAAGAAAGAAAGAAAGAAGAAAGGAAAGAAGGAAAAGCAGCCTTTTTTTTTTCAGGGGAGGGAACTTTACAAGCTAACTGTATGCTGGGGGGGACTGGGGATCAGCCAATCTCCGGGCTTTAATTAGCACTTGCTGGTCCGTCCTGTATTTACTGTACAGTACTAGCAGATCCATGCAGAGCATGGCATATCTACTTAAAGAATTGCGGGGCCATATGCAATAGTAATGCAGGTACCGTACCCTAATCTCTCTCCGTCGGAAACCCTTGCTAGATGTCTTCATTATTGATTAAGTATTTATTATGGTGAAACAGGGAGGGCGAATCAGACAGAAGCTAGAAGCGACATTATTTCATTCGCTGAGGCGTAAGGTAAGGTATTGATTGCGTCAAGACCTTAGACCAGGCAGACAATCAAGGTCTCCTCCTCTGGAAGAATGAGAGGATGAGAGAATGAGAGAATGAGAGAATGAGAGAAGTGTATACTTACTGACGATGATGCCGAAGGAAAGAGAGCCCCGAGCTTGCCGGGATGGTCCCTCGGTCTCAACTCTCAGGGGAAGGTACATCATACTTTACAGTAAGGTACATGTAAAGTACGAATTGAAGTACTTGAAGGCAGGATCCCCCGATCTATCCGGAGCTACACAGAAGCTAAGGTTTCACGACAACCTACCGTAAATACAAGCTACTTTAGAGTAAAGCTCTAGAGGTAAAGTACCGTATCTCAAGAGAAATCACACATCTCGCGGCGGCAACAGTAGCAATCATTTATCGAGCTATCACAAAAACAAATATACCTATCATCTTTTCATACATGTAGCTTGGAGACCCCCCCCCCCAAAAGCAGGCGCAGAGCGTCAGAACGTCCGGCCTCTCATTCGGCTAGATCCTGTCTGGGGCCAAATTAATGTCATCCTTCCAGCTATCGGGTCATCATCTCATCTTTTATATAGAATGCCTAGTCACTGTAACCTACTTCGCCTGTTTTCCAATTTGCGGCGAGGAGATCAAGTCATCAATGGTCCATTGACCCTTTCACGGCGAAGCCTTCTTTGATGCTGCGCCGAAGGGAGTGCTTCTCCAGGTTTCAGAACGGCCACAATGATCCCAGGAGTCGGTGCCAGAATATAGCCATTTCAATGCTCGAACTCAAAGGATTTGCTTCCCCCTATCGAGTCCAATCGACAAAAATACTTCCGGGACCAGACCTGTTTATGTCTGTCACCTCGATAGAACAAGTCTGTAGGCGAAAGCAGTCACGGAGACCCTCGTCCACCGGGGTAGTTCAAGGAATGCCTTCAATGCCTTCATACCTTTTTTCCCTCTTTATCTTGGTTGGAAGACCCCGGCTTCCCGGCTTCGTAGTTGCAACGCAATTAAAATTCAGCCTTCATTTGGTATTCGTTCCCTTTGACTTGCTACTTGCTACTTGCTCTCTCCTTTCCTCCTCTCCATCACCTTCAGCACGTCCGCCGCGCTGTTGACATCGCCCTTCCTTTTCTTGCCTCCCCTTTTTCTCCTTTCCTTGCCCTCGCCTCCTCCTTCGACCTCGCCTCCATCTCCATCCCATACACTCAGCTTCACCCTCCTATCTTCCCCATCCTCGGCATCCCCAAAACGGCTACTACCAAACTCCATGTCCATATCATCAGCATCACGATCGTGGGACTCCAGCATTTTTTTGCGTCGCGCGATTTTGGCGGCTTCCTCTTCGTTGCCCGATTCCGAGGTCGAAAATGGATGTATGGCAGAAGCTTTTTTCAGCGCAGCGAGGATTGTGGCGTCAGCGAGCGGATCCTGCCCTCGGTCATCCGTTCCATCTTTATCTTCCTCAGTATCACCAAAGTAATTCCGTTTTCGCCGCAGTGGAGATTGTTGCTGAGGCATGGGGGGTGGGGGCATGGCGGACGATGTCTCGGATTCTGACGCTTTGGGGGGCTGTTTCGAAGGGCCAGCTACAGAAGCGGCTTCGCCTTCCCCGTCACTATCGTTAGAATAATCGTCATCGCCCTCAACGCCTCCCAGAGGATTGTAATCGACGCCTACGCCCTCGAAGATGTCCCCTTGGTCTTCGTCTCCAGCGGCTACGGGGGGTGCTCTGGCCGTAACCTGCATACCAAGCGGTTTTGCGTCTTTGTCTGGCATCAACAAGCCATCATTCTCATCAACCTTCGCTTTTTTCACCTTCCTCTTCACTCGACCATCCTCACCAATGGTGATCAAGATTTCTCGGCCTCGTTCATCTTTCTCAATCCTGGACCTCTCTTTCTTCTCACCAACCTTGAGAAATCTAGGTCCCAAAGCCGGCTTCTGTGCTTGCTTCGCGCTCTCAGCTGCTGCAAGTCTGGACTCCTTGAGCTCTTTCAGTATGTCATCTCGTGTTCGCTTTTGGCCTGCAACAGGAGCGTGCCGGGCCATCTCTCCCTTTTTCAAACTCTGCTCTCTCGCTATTGGTTGGATTGCCTTTTCTTCAAGTTTCTCAAATTCGTCATCAACATCAGCCTCGGGCGGGGTTTGCCGGTTTTCGTCGTGATCTTCGTCTGCCTTCGTGGAATTTCCTATGTCCGCAATGACATCTTCTCCTCTTCTGACCCTTTCCAAAAGCTTATAATCTAGTCCCTTCACCAAATGCACATCCTTCACATCACCGCCCACAATCTCGTCCCTGAGAGCTTCAAAGGTCGCCAGATCCATCTGGCCCAGCTTGACCATGGCTTCCAGAGCTTTAACACGCGTAGCCTTGTCATCCTCCTCACCCGAAGTCCGAAGCTGTGTACGATCTTGGTAGCCTGAGTGCAGCTTGGTACCTTTGGGTGCCGCAGAGGAACGGAATTTCTTCGTGCTGGAAGGGTTCATTTCGGCATTGCGTTCGGCCAGCTGGCGCGCAAAATCATTTCCCGATAAGCCTATTACTGAGCGCCTGATCTAGGTCAGTACCGCTCGTAGATAAACAACCCAGTGAGATGAGATGGTGGGCTGGGATTACAGTACGGTGTCATGGGTATGTTAGATCGCATGCGAGAACCGAGGGCTGGAGTCGCACCTCCGCCCTTCAAGTTGGACCCCATGGAATGTTCCTTGGTCTTGGGAGCTGTGGGTGTGTCCAGCACCAGTCGGCGGAATTGGGTGTTATTCATGATTTTGTAGTCGAGTGATTGCAGACTAAAAGTTATTGTGTGACTGAAGGGCTGTCGTTATGTTCTAATCTCGATTCTAATGAGGAAATACGAGTCTTGCTCTCAGAGAGGCATCGCTAGTCTCATGAATGCAACGATGTTAGAAACAATGTGAAGCCTTTGACATTCTGACGGTACGAGGGCACGAGGGGGAGCTAGTGCGGGAACTCCCGAGCTATACCCGAGGCGCTCGCTGCGCTTCACCAACGGCAACAGTGATCTTCTCAATGAATTGTAATCCGGTTCTACACTGGCGGTCTCTCTACTGTCTTAAGCTGTGCTGATATCATTGGGGTAGCTCTCTGTTAAAGCAAAGGATTGGCCTGCATCGGCTGTGGTTCGTGGATTGGCAGCCATGGTCGAACCAAGCAACTCAGTGCCTGCACAGCTGGTATGTCCACCATCCTTAGATAACAATCTCACGCGTCTGATAGCATGCAGCTGCGTCATGTTCATCTGGTTTCGAGCAACCCTTACCCCAAATTACCCCAGGTGCACCTCGACATTGCTGTTGAGTACCTGATCCAAGCTCCAAGGATCGTTAGAGAGGTTGCTCCAATGAGTTGGATGTACTTAGATTGCCCACCAGATGGAGAGGTTATGCTCGTCTGGCAGCCAAGTCAATTGAGGACTCAAGCGGCGAGCGATGGATTTGTATGGGCAGACGCGGAGTCGGCGTTCAGTTCTGAAATGAGGGGATACGTATGTTTTGGCAATGTAATGATGCGACTCCTGTGTTGACCATCTGTAATTAGACAGTGGAGATGTACATTCACAGAAGCGGATACCGCCCGAACCTCGAATCGCTCGCAACCCACTGTCGGCGCCGATTTCGATTAACGCCGTCCCAAAACCCAGATCCCAGCGTGCCACCACCCGACCAGTCATTATGGATCTGGCATTACTCTCAAACGGAACCCCAGCATCGCTTCCCGGCGCACCAAATCCGAGTGAGTGAACAGGTGCGCCAGTCGTTGGCTGAGCGCGCGAATCTCCAAAAATTCGGACAGCTGGTGCGCAAAGAATTCATGCTGCGTGATAGCGCGAACTGGCCTACCGTCAATCTTCCTGGCACTCACAATTCCTTGTATCCGCAGCAAGCCTCGGGTTATCCAGGCGATGTGATCTCGCACATAAGCCGAAGCCAACAACAACAACAACAACAACAACAACAACAACAACAGCAACAGCAACAGCAACAGCAACAGCAACAGCAACAGCAACAGCAACAGCAACAGCAACAGCAACAGCAACAGCAACAGCAACAGCAACAGCAACAGCAACAGCAACAGCAACAGCAACAGCAACAGCAACAACAACAACAACAGCAACAGCAACAGCAACAGCAACAGCAACAGCAACAGCAACAGCAACAGCAACAGCAACAGCAACAACAACAACAACAACAACAGCAGCAACAACAACAACAACAACAACAAGCCTACATACAGCAGCAGCAGCAGCAAGCGAATGCAACCCAACACGGGGTTGGACCTTCACCAGCAAAGCGTCCGCGCCACGGGGGACCCGGCCATGTACACGGATCAACTACAGCTATTCCAACCCCCGTTGTAGCACAAGATACCACATATGATGAGGAAGAGGGGACTTCCGGGGGGGATTATATGGATTTTCTCACTCCCAGAGATATCAGCCTTCATCGTTATAGACAGCATCATGAATGGCTTGAAGAGATCTTGAACTCTCCATACGATACATCGCAGATTATACCAGGCCAGCTTGGCCTCGGTAGGAAAGGCGAACTCGAGTCCCTCACTAGAGACTTCTTCGATGCTCCTATCGAGGCGACCCCAAGAGAAACCTTTCCCAAATCAAAAGGAGAGTCTCCCGTGGAGAATTCGGCCACTCCACGTGTTGGCAGGCTTGAGTCCGGGAAAGCAGAAGATTTTACGAAGCGGGCTACTGAGAAGATAGCTGAAATCAATGCAGAGATGGAAAAGCTGAAGCGTCAACATGCAAGACGGATGGCAAAGCTCAACAAGGGCCGTGCCTTCAAAGAGGCTGAGCAGAATCTCAGAGTCTCTACCCTCGAGATGATCAACTCTGAGGCCACCAAAGGCGATGCCGTGCAGCAACACCGAGTAGACGAACTTGCCGGAGGATTAGAAGCTCAGGTAGGAAAGAGTATTAGGTTAGTCAAAGACGTCGAATGCATAGACAAAGGCGGTCTCGAAGAGAAGTCTCAGGCCGAGGACGCCAAAGACCAGGACTACGATATGATTGATGCGTTTGGAAGTCGTGACGGCGCAACAGCTTCAGCGACTCCGTATCCAGAGTCGAGGAGCCCGGGTTTGGCTATTCCCATGGAGTCTGCAGACAGCACATCTAATGTTGTCCATAAAAATGCACCAATAGCGGAGACTTTGAATGAAGGAGACGTCAAGATGGACGAAGTACAAAACACATCTGAATCTAAAGACACAACGGCGGAAGATTGGGTCATGGTGAACAAAGAGAACAACTCTACAGTCGGAGAAGACGTGCCCGAGATTGAAAGCTTTCGAGACAATTTAACCATGCCGCCAAGCACAGGCGGACCAACCCCGAACGACAATGCTACCGGCGATAGTGTCTCGGGTTTTGAGCAAGGTGCAGGGGAGGACGCTGGAGAGAACTTTGATGCCAATGATTTCGGCGAGGGTATTGACTTTGGTGATTTGGATACTGCAGGAGAAGAGTTGTCCGGTTACAGTCCAGGAATGGAGAACCCAGGGCTTGACGACCGAGGCGATTTGACAAGTGAGGGCGCTTTTGGAGATTCATTCCAAGTTATGGACGAAGGTGCCGGGCAAGAAGATAAGACTCCTGGGGTTTGATTTGTTCACATCGTGTCGTGTCTCGGAAAACTTCCTTACGACAGTATCTTTTACTATGTTCCTCCACAACGTCCTCCTATACTATTTGCGCGCGGTAGGGACAGCCCTGATCATGAGACCCAAAAGATTCATAGAGAACATGCGGCTATGTATGATGGATGCGTATAGATGAGGAGAGCGTCATTATGATTTGGAATGCCTGCGCTTTTCTCTCGTCCAGGTCCTTCACTGACTCTAACCCATTGAAAGGCAGTCAGAATTTCAGTAAGAATTGACATTCCGTGGCAGGAGTTCGGCCGGCTTTCTTCCCCGTCTGAGATTGGTAGCAGTCTTAAGCTGAAAGAAAAACTTTCATCTCCAGGAATTCAGTCACCCCGCACGCAGCCATCGCCTCGGCTGTGCATCATCCAAGATATTCTTCTGCTTTGTAGTCATCAAGGTAATGCACAACGGGCCGTTTCGATTGAAAATGTAGATGACTCTCAACCATGTCAGCCGGCAACCCCGAACTTCGTCTCCACAGCAAATTTAGAGATTCATCATGCTTCTCCGTCATTGTCTACATGCACGTGCATCCGAAAGTCGAAGCACGGAGGTGTCCAATAAACTCTCAACGCATCGAAACAGTTTCGAAATCCTGGAGTGTCTCCGTCTGGTTTCGGACTAGGAACGCATTGTCGACAAAGCGGACCCAGTCAAATCATCCATAGGCTCGCACACTGTATCCATGCGTTTCTCGTCCGACACTCAGCGGAATGCCGGCTTCATAGTTGCAGTAAAGATTTGAATAACAACGCTGCTGCTTGGAATCATGATATTGCGAACAATACGGGAGTTGAAAGGTATGTGAGAGACAATCTCCATCGCAAGGATGTGTCCAGCGAATAAATGCCGAGTTTGAAAGTCTCGATCATGAGCTGCGCGATCACAGAAGCGAAGAACTTCCCCAACCGGGGAGATTGCACTACGCATACGAACATCAGCAACGGAGGCTGAGACACCAACGAAAAGGAGACTGTGTTCGTCACCAAACCCCTGTTCGATGCGTTCCCTCATATACATCCTCAATCCACTCCCTGTTCAACGCTTCGTATCTGTCTCGTAGACCCCCCAAGCCGACGGAATGCTCGTCTCGCGAAGAACACATCCATAGACCCCAGCACCCTTCCCGACTCCTAAACTGGTAAAAAGATCATTATCCACCTCGTAGACCTATGCCGGTCCTAATGCCTATCCTATCTCCTCCACCGCATCGTAGTCCTTTCTCGGATCCCGGTCGTTGTCGCCGGCCTATACGGCGCGCGCGCATACGTCCTAGTGACCGTGGTCCTCTGCCGCGGGGCTGGATGCCGATGATGAGTCTCGACAACACGGATGGCTGGATAAGATGTGGTGGTGTGCCTACGGCGAGGCGACAGGACGGGCATACACATGATTGGAGTGGAGAAGGTTTGAGAAGTGAGGTTCCTTCTCGGAAGGGAGCAATACTCTTTCCTGCAAAATTCTGATCAGAATTTGCGCAGTGACGACAACTAATAACGCGACGATAGCAAGAGGCCTTACGATTAACAACTGAGAGCAGAGAGCAGAAATAAAGCGAGGGACTCAAGCATTTATGGTCAAGAGGCACGAGGGTAAAAATAAGAAGATACGAGGATGACGATTTACCTGGCTACCTTTCTTGGAAGGGAGGCAAAAGGCTTTCACACCTGTCACATGTCCAGACTACTTGCGGGGCTGTGCTTGCGCGTTCAACATTGAACCGCTTTTCCTCTCTCTCTTCTCTTCTTCTCTTCTTTCTTTCACAATCACTGAAGAAGATCTCGCAATAGAATACTCCAGACTGATCAATGCTTTAAAAGGAAGGATTGACACTCGAAGTTCGGAAGCTATTTTCACTGACGCACTTCGAGGCCAGATGTCTCGCTATGATCTAGGCCTGGCAAGCGGCGTCTGCGCATGTCCATACTTCACCCTGATCAGTGGTTGTGGATTAAAATTTAAAATCCGAAAGATAGCGAAAGCACAGACTCCATGGGATGGTGTATATCTATCGGAAGTGTCAGCATTTGACAGCCATTATACGCCCTTCTGCCCTTATCAGCTTTCTTTTCTCCATCTATTCCCAATAAGATCCCATGTCAGCACATGCCACATTGAGGAACGGGTTAACATCCAATGATGTATAGATAGGGGAGTATCCTCGAATCCAATTGTTTTGCTATTGGAACCTGTCATGCCAAAATCGTGACAAGTGAACGTTGAGGAAGTCGGTGTGGCATGTTAGCCGACAACGCCGAGACATGAATTGTACCAAGACACAAGAAATGTACCCCTATCTGATCGCCCATCAAGTCTAGAGTGAGCGCCATTTTACGCTCGCGTAGCGCGGCTGAGAATCACGCCTTTTCATATATTTCGAAGATGTGGTTCTCCATACTGCTATTTGAGGGTCTCTGTTGAGAAACGAACAGTCTCAAAGACTCATTCAACCACACTGAAAGACTGACGTAGCAGTGACCACAAGAAAGAAAAGCGTCGTACATAAATGCATGCTAGGAAGCTCGTTCCGATTGCACGACCACGATTGAGAAACTTGTCCTCAAGATTTGCTAATTCAGAGGTTGAGCAATTTTGAGCACAGCTTTAACCGTCTCGCGCGAAGTCATCTTGCTGAGCCACAAAGGCGATATCCGCATAGAAGAGCTTACTGCCCACGAGCCATGGTCCGTCACTGCCAGCGCGGCCGCCATGTTCCCGTTTTCGGTGAGCCAAATACCCGTCTAAGACGCCTGACACCCGATTGACTTCTTTGACGTAGCGCTCAATGGCACTGGGCACTCATTTCGAATGAAATTTCTTGAACCAGACCGACTGTCCATAGTATGGGCCTTGTCCGGTTGTCTGGAAGTAGAGCCACTGTTTCGGATGATACGACTCTGGTGGTCCTGGAGCAAAACTCAATCGGTGTTCCGTGTCGTAGAGCTCGATCAGACACTCGACAATGGCACCGGACTCGAACAGAGTAATACCGGTATTGGGGACGTGGATGGCTGGTAATCGACCGTCGGGGTTAATGGCGAGGTACTCAGGCTTCTTGACGTCGGAGAATGGGACGGGGATAGCTTGTGAAGGAAGGCCGAGTTCCTCGAGGACGATGGCAATTTTGGGTGGATTGGACCGCCTTGACCCCAGGCGTTGATCGGTTTGAATTGTGATGACAGTCTCTCTTCTTTATGTTTTGGAAGCGAAGATGAATGCCAATGGTGAGCTGACTTGACTTGTCCTGGTAAACAAGAAATAAGGTACTTGTCTCGACAGAAGTGCAGATGTAGTTTGATGGGTTGGAGAAGGAATATTATCAATGGACGTGAAGCAATGCCATGTAAGCTATACTGTGCAATATACCCGTCAATGTCACCTGATCCAACAATCTACAAAGCACTCCTTTTTTTACAGCAAATATATATCTACTCAACGAGAGGGAGCAACGGCGAGATAGAATGACGGTAATAATAAGAGTAGCGAGATTGGTATATAATTCGTCATCTACTTGTTGAAAACCTTGGTGGTGTAAAGTTAAGTAAAAGTAACCTCAAGTTAAGGTAAGGTACTTTAGGGATGTACGCGTGACGCTAAACATTTAGGCTCGCTGTACTATAAGCGGAGCCGGGGTAACGACTGTACGAGTACATTTCTCTGCCAAGACATGCGGTTTGATTGCGGCCGCCCTTGTTATTAACGAGTCTGCTGACGCTTCATTGTGGGTCAGTACACTTTGCCTCAAACATTCGAGCTGACCCAATACCTTACTTTACCGTATAATTTTCCTTGTAAAAACCATCCATTCCGAACGAGCCACCACTGCAGGCTGCAATACCAATTACACCACTCCACTACCTATCGACTCTCAAGGACACTTTACCATGTCAGTATCTGTTGCCTAAGCTCAAGCTGCGTTGCCGCATGTAGCTCCGGTCCCTCTTTACTGACGCGGTCTATGCTGCTGCCAGGAATCGATCACTTTCCGTAAGGTCCAAAAAGGACAACGCCTCCACCACTGGAAGCTCAGGAAGCGCCCCCAAGCACCGATTCACTATGGCCTCACTACGCGGTATGCAGCAGCCAGAGTTGAGCAAGAAGCTCTTCAAGATCATAAAGAGCGAGAACCACGCCATCGGTGCCTACGAATCAGCCAGCCGCGAGCGCATCTCCATCGCCTCTCAGCTGTCAGACTGGGGCGAGGCTACGGGAGATGACTCCGTTTCCGACATCGCAGACAAGCTAGGCGTTCTTTTGTCGGAGTTGGGCGAGCAGGAGGATGTATTTGCGCAGAACCTGGAAGATTACCGCGGCATTTTGAAGCAGATCAGGAATACCGAGAGTTCTGTGCAGCCCAGCAGGATTCACAAGGCGAAGATCTCGGATGAGATAGCAAAGCTCAAATACAAGGAGCCTGAAAGTACTAAGATTGTCCAGCTTGAACAGGAACTTGTCAGGGCCGAGGCACAGAATCTGGTTGCAGAAGCTCAGCTGACCAATATCGTACGTCTCTTGCGGCTACGCCACGAGGTTGACGTAGGCTAACAGCCGTTATAAGACCCGCCAGAAGCTCAAGGAAGCTTATGACCTCCATTTCGCCGCCACAATCGAACGTGCCGAGAAGCAGATAATGCTCGCCCGCCACGGACGCCGCCTATTGAACCTCCTTGACGATACTCCAGTAGTCCCCGGGGATACCCGTCCAGCCTTTGAGCACGCCCACCAAGCTCGCCAAGTCCTGAATGATGCTGAAGAGGATCTTCGTGACTGGGCTCCAAATCTAGAACCGATTCACAGCTCAGCTACTGAGATGGGTTCCAACCTCATGCCGCCACAGGCCGGAACAGCAGACACAAGTGTCAGCGGACAAGAAGAGGAGTCGATGATTAGGGCAGGGGAGAGTACTACAGGTCAGTTGGAAGCCCCGGCACCACCAGAACACAGGGGTTACGGTGAAAGCTCAACCGTCGCGCAGCCTGAAGCGGCATTTAGCTACTAGCTGTGACAGCACTCTGCTCCGCTCCGCTTCTGGGTGCAACGGCGATCATTAGAGGTGTGATTAGGGGATACTATGGAGTTCGAGCGAGATGACTCAATGGGCACGGTAGCTGTCTATTGTTGTAACGATGTCTGAACTTGCGGTCCTTTCCTAATACTGCACAACTCGTTGCCGACCATTCGTCGACGATTGTTCTCCCTTTGACCGAGAACCTTCTCCATAGGGATTTCTTTCATGCGTCGTAACGCTTGCTTATTTCTCAACCCTACCATTCGCATCAGTGAGAAGCCGGCGCCTGATGGTCAAGGAAAGCATGACCAGCCATGTCAATTTTTACATGCAGTCCAGAAGTACTTTCTCCTGGGAAAGCTTAATGAAGCAGAAGTCGATGATTTCACGTCACCCATCCAACATTGAATTGATTTACCCTCGATGAAATCCTCCCCTCCTTTCTGCCTCCCATACCAACTCCGTTGCGCATCCGTCACTAGATTCAACCTCAATAATGTCATTTTGACAACACAATCACTATACCGAGCAAGACTTATACTATGAGTTATCTTAGGATATGCGGAGCGCCATGGTCCGATGTCTTTACACACATTACAGGAAATGTCTCATATATCGATATATGCATAGCTCCACGGTCCCAACCCAATGTAAATCTCGAGAACCATATGAACCAGAGCCAGCCCCAAAGCCTCGATGCTTCCTAGGTCATGCAGCCTATCTTTCATAGTAGATCATCTAGTTACCCTACCTCACCCACTTTTAACGTTTGATCCTTTGTACACATGCAATGACCATGAGAACGAAGAGAATGATCTGTAGCAGCGTGTCAGTCTCTGTTCGGCACCGAGGGATGTGTCGCTCGACGTACTGCGGACACTGAAAAGCATATCCCACTCGATTTGGCATGGCCAATTGAAAACAACTTGCCCATCATGGGGCCGCCGATGAGCTTTGCGAGGATCTCTACCACGGCGACCGAAGTGAACAGTCTCGCATGGTACGCGTGATCTATGAGGGAAGTAGCGAGGCCCTGCAGCGCAGGCTCTTCACCTTCACTCATGCCGCATATGAAGAGCGCTGTATGACCCAATTAGCCATTCATAGCAGTATCTCCAAAAGCCTTCACCTACCCAGGAGCAGCATCCAGCTGTGATATGATAGTTGCAACAGGACGAAGCCCGTCGCTGCCACCAGCAGAGACACACGGATGACGTTGAGATCGAGCATTTGCGCATGAAGTCCTCTCCGATTTAACACAGAAGACAACAGCGGTAGGACTACTATTGTTGCCAAAGACGAACCCCCAGCCTGGGAAAACCTCAACCAAGTGGTCTGGCTCAGTCCCCATTGGAAATTGTAAGAAGCATATTGATACACGAAAGCTTTGCTGATCATGGCAAGCGGCTTGAGAAAGAAAAGTAGGTAGCAAAAGGGAAGTCCCGGCATTTGTATCAGGACGATGATGTCCCTCCACCATTCTTTATTCTCAGGACCTGGACCGGGCAGCCGATTATCTACGCACATTTCGGAGTCAGCGTTGCCTCTTCGCGGTAAATAACTCAGTCGCAAGACAGGTCTCGAGAGCAGAACAGGTCAATTTGCTCGCGAAATATGTCTTGCGACTCACTCTCGGTAACAACAGGAAGGAGCTTCTCCAAAATGTACGTACGGATTCCACGGGGAAGCTGCTCTGGAGGGGTAATTGTCCCTTCCCCCGAGTCGGTGCCAGTGAGCGTATCAGCGGCGCCAAGAAGAGGGCTCTTGGGAGAAGACGAGAGATGCCTCAGCGACTCGGGCATAAAGACGATGATCAGCAGACCTAGAGCCAATGCTCCAATAGCGACAGCAAAGGGCAGCCATATCCTTATGAGCATCAATAGACCAGACAGCGGTGGGGCTACCAACGTTGTCAAGTGGGGAATGCCTGCAAGAAGATACATGTATCTCGTCCTGGCGTTTGTCAGCCAATGTCATCACTGATACCCGTACTGGTGCAATATTACCTGTGCGATTTATCAACAGTGTCGGCAATGATAGTGAAATTCATTCCCTTAGCCACCCGTTGAGAGCCACCCACGCAGAGGAAGATTGAAGATAGCCATACGAGCTTTACCGGCAAGTTCGTGTCAGCATAGCAGATGAATAGAATCCATAAAAAGCTGCACAGAGTCCCTGCACAACAGAGCGCAAGTACAAGCCGTCTACCAAGCCTGCCGAGCCCTGATCAGCAGGAACTCTGTATTCCTGGAGCATGAGCGTCATACCTGTCTGCGATTGATCCATAGTACAGCGCTGTCAAAAGCCCCGGCAATGCATCGAAGGTAAACTTGAGGCCTGTGAGGTTGGCCAGTTCATCCTGGATGGGAGGGATTTTGCACAGTCCCTCGTCGATATCTAGCGCAGTGAGTCGTAGGCGCACGGATTGGTCAGCGTAGTATCGGTTGCAAATGGCCTGTTCGAATAGTTTGATGGTTGGGACTTCAACCATATGTTTGGCGAAATAGGTGCAGAATTGCAAGGCAAATGTACAAATAAGAATAGGATTCTCCACCAAAAAGGTCTTTACGGCAAGAATCGCACGAACGGGCCATTGCCACACTGGAGAGAGAGCGGGGGGCTGAGCATGGCCATGGATTGGTGGCAACAGAGGCTGGCGCTCATTGTCGGAAGAGAGAGGATTCATCCCCATTAATCACAGCAGTATGGAGATGGAGACGCTCCCATCTTTGGATTTGGACTATGTACAGAGATGGAATAGCGATTGTTGAATCAGGCAGGCGTAGGTCGCTGGGACAAGAGTCGGGCAGTGCAGGTTGCAATAAAGGATGAACGAGGGTACAACGGCTGGACAAAATATAAAGTAGGTATTGTAGGGAAGAAAAATTAATAGTAGGTGATTTATTCAGACATGAATCATTTATACAAAGACTCTGATGATATGCAGAATGGTAGTTATGTATATGTGTAAAATGTATATGATATGTACCTGACCTTGCAGACAAAGAAGGCAGCCAATTAACTTCCAAGGATCTCGTAAGGCTTAGCGCATCTTCTCGACCAAGCACCTCCATTCTCTACCTCATATACGAGCTTCTTCTCTCACCAGAATCTTCTCAACTCTCCAGAAATTGACAAGACGAAAATCAAGATGAGCCACCCCCCCTACATTTCTTATCTTTGCGTATGACAAGTACCTTAATAGCCGCGAGCTGACTACATGCCAATGTCTGCCTCGCCCAATACGTGAGCTTGAGCTTGTTTACTGCTAGCCGCTGGCTTCGAAGAGAATCATGTTGCTGCTGAAAGGACTTCCTGCATGGCTTTGTATTTTGGAAATAGTGTCTGCGATAGGGTCTCTTCCATTGGAGTACAGGCACGGCTCAAATGTGCTCTGGCTATCTCCTGACTTCACCTTCCAAATTGTCTACGAACCCTTGTCATCCATGCAGGCTTAGCACCTTTGCTCCCATTGGACTTCATTTCGCGATTCTTGCTCTCGCACACTTTCTTTCTTCAAAGATCGAAGACATGGATCCGAAGGAACGATGTCGGACTGACGACAAACATGATGATAGTTCATATACCGAAGGGTCGTGTATCCTACAATCCTACCTCCTTGACAATTCTCCCTTGCATATGACTTCAAGGACGGCACTCCAAACCTTACAATATGTGATCTGCAGTGACTGCTTTTGGCATCGGCTTACGTCTTGCTTTTGTTTACCGGAACTGCTACAGTATTTGACAAATCAGACACAGACTGGTTGTACCACCGGAGGTTCAATCGATGGTTTGCAGTGTACGAATCTGCCTGCGGAGTCCTCAGATTGGAGATTGCTACTGTTTTTGCTGTCTATCTGGCTCGCTAAATAAACGACACCAGGCATGCTACACAGACCGAGTCAGGTATCTTTACACGAATTGAGGAGTCATGGCATGTCCGTCGGATAGCCCTCCTTGCCGTGTGGCTCAACATTGTCAAATCTCTTGGTTTCATCTTCCTACAGCTGCATAATGCCGACATGGGCAATCATCACGACAATTCCGACCACACACCCGTTACCACAACAACCGCTCTATCAATGTCTGACCACACACTCACAACTACTACAACCTCAGTCTCAACAGCCCGGATCACTCGTTCCCACGCAGTTCGTATCACACCCATGACGACCCGCTGGCGGATATACCGAGAAGTCAGCAGCATCTAGTGCTTGGTGGCAAGGAGCATATGTGGGCTGAGCAAATTGACGGAGTCAATCTGGATAACAATCTCTGGCTGCGTGCTGGGGAGGTCTCATCGAGGGGTAAGGGGTAGTCAACAAGAATGTGACGAGGAGAATTGCTGAGATGAGAGACTGGCTTGTTGCGTCGGGTATTGCGGCTGGCACAGGTGACGAGGTGTCTGATGAGTCCTGGGAACTGCAGGTAATAGGAGAGCCGCTGGGTCACATTGCTTTTGAGAAAGCATATTCCAAACCCGTTTCTTTATTTGCATGCTTTGCTGCCTTCGCTGTGCCGTGGCCGCAAGCTCCAAGATAAGTACAAAAGATAAATATCCACAAAGATCGATCATACTGCATTCCTCACTCATATCGAGTCATGCCCCCAATTCCACAAACGCCACGCCAGACTGTAAGCCTTTCCCGATTGACCTTCCGTATTTCCCACCTCGGTATGAACGTTACACAGAAGTTCCTCAAAGCCACCCATACGTTTCCATTGCTATTCCCAACAGCCTCATCAATGCGGCTGTACACGAGGCTTCTTCTCCTTCAACGCCTTGAACTCCGCCAATTGCGCCGAAATGTGCCCCAGCACATCGTCCATCGGACAGGCATGCTCAAGCAAATTATGTGTGCTGAATGGCGTCACCATATTCCTTAACGCAAGCGTAGATACACATGTCTATGGAGAAGTCAGCATGAAGGATCCATTTGTCACAGGCTCAGGATCACTTACCTCAATCCTTGTAACCTGGTGTTCAAGATAGCTAACCAAGAACCGATCTGTCACCTCACCTCCTCGATTCTTCATTCTCTCAAGCACACTCTTTTCCGGTTGCTTCAGGCTCGTTGCTCCCGGGCTCTCGAGCGCACTACACAGCATTTCCAGTCTCAGACTGATGTTCCACAGCCCCCATATATACTCGGTGTCAAAATCTAGCACGCTTCCAGGCTGCAAGCTAGCAGGCTCGTTAGAAGCTGCGGCAGCTTCAGCATCACTGCGCTGTTGTTGCGCGATGAGACGACCGGCAAGCGAATGCGGGTACATCAGGTAGATCAATTCGGGATTCTCGAGCCCTTTGAGTTTTTGAGTGCCAAGGTCTTTGACTTCGAAACCCTGGGAACTAAGGGCCCTCAGCTCTCTGCGTATTGATTGGCCCAGTGGATCTTCGTTCAGCGAGTCATCCGAGCCAGTGGACCCAGTCCGCTCGGGGTCAGCAAACGCTTCGAGGGAACGTTGGATCTCGGCTATGTAGTCCTGCGAAACGTAGATCTGGCCGCCGTCTGCTGCGCCCGAGATCCGAGCTGCTCGATTGACCATAGGCCCAAAGTAATCCATGCGCCGAGTGACGGGATCAGGTTCGCATACCGGTTCGCCCCAGTGGATGCCCATGCGGACTGATAGACCACGATAGATGACGTTTTCATCCCCATCCAGAACCTCTGCGCAATGTACGGTGTTCAGGACTTCAGGGGGCCAATCTACTTCCAGGAGGTGTTGTTGAACGACGAAAGACCACAGCAAAGCCCCTGTTGCGGTGGGGAACGAGACCATGAATGCATCACCTTCAGTCTTGACTTCATATCCTCCGATGACCCTCAACTGTCGTCTCATGACTTCGTTGTGAGACTTGATGGCCGATCTCATAGCGACCGGGTAGTTCTCCCACAAAGTAGTCGAATTCTTGATATCCGTGAAAACCATGCTAAGATTACCCGTTGGGGCGTCGACTTCAGGATCGAGTCGTTGGAGTGTCGAATCATCAGGTCTATCTCGACCCTTTTTGCCACGTTTCGTTGCGAAGAACTGGTCATCTTGTGATTGGGATGGGCCCATCGAGAGGCTTTGGCCCCGGTAGCGATTGCGCTCTCGCTTCTTCAGATCGCTGACGCTAATGATTTGAATCATGATCTTGCCATTGGCCCCAAAGGCCATGGCTAGATCACGAAGCTTCTGGGCCGCCCGCATAAGGTCCACTCGTTCAGAGCGCGCAACGTCGACAACCATTTCGAGACTCATAACGTCCCATAGCTCTTTAGACGCAATCAATATCATTTCATCGGACTCCTTCAGCGAAAGGTGGTTGACGTTCGGAGCAGCCATAACAGCGGGCATCATCTGGATATAGCCAAAGGCACGCGAGACGTCTAGTACATCATTGAGCTTGCCATGTCTTGACACATATCCTCCTGCGTCTCGAACACGCTCCCGCTCTCGTCGATCAGCTGGCTCGTGCTTTCGTGTCAAGATCTTATGACCCCCATCATTCTGCACGAGCATCGCTTGCGCGTCTCCAACGTTCGCAACATAGAGTTCCATATTGTCAAGAAATATGACTGTGGCAACGCCACCTGAGGTGAGGTCATCTGCGCTCAACGTATGCGCTGCAGTAGATCCTCGGTGCGACTTTTGAGGTAATCGATGTTCCTTTTCGTCGAGACTCTGACTAGCCGTTGTTGCCAGATCTTTGTTCAAGGCGAGGAAGGTTCTCCGGAGACCGTCGGCTGGAGTCTCCTCCTTTGGAAGTCTGCTTAGTTCTTCTATGAAATGATATTGAAAATTTTCTTGCAAGTACTTTGCAAGTCTTGAGCCCCCGCTTGACAGCGCTTGCCCATCAAACATTCCTAGAAGTGTTTCAGTCTCATGACCCCGAAACTTCGGAACTACCATATCGATCGTGGATAAATGTTCGTGTTTTCCCAGGCTGTCTGCCATGCCATATGCCATTGATCCAGCCAACGACCCGGACGTCCGTACTCTGCGATCTTCTGTCTGGTCGGGAACCGAGGGAATTGTAAGCGTCACATCCATCAGGCCAAGAACTCGCAGGTGGTGAAGGGTTGTGAAATTTGTAAGATCAGCAGCTTCTCTGCCCCCATTTGCCGTGAAAGATCGACTGGGCTTGATTTCAAGACGTTTGTTGCCAGAGAAATTGAGGTATTTGAGATTCTTGTTCCAGTTCCAATTCCAATCATAGGGCCAATTAGAGACGTTGTACTTGAGAGCATTACTCCCGACATCCAGAACTGCGAGCTTCCGAACCTTGCCAAGTTCGGCGGGAAGAACTTGAAATTTGTTTCCGTTGATGTGCAGGACTTTCAGGGAGGACACCTCCTCAAGATCATCCGATGGAAGAGATGACAGTTCATTACCAGATAGGTAAAGCTCGTTGAGATTCGGCCATCGTCGTAAGGATCGCGGAGGAATATCATATAACTCATTGTACGAAAGGTTCAGGGTCCGAAGTTCAGGGAGCATGGT